TTCATGAACGGTCAGACAATACAGCCTTTTAGTACGTAACGTATAGTGAATGGGAATGGGCGATGATCCGTTCAGGAGGTAGAGGTCAGTGGTTTGTGCTGGCAATGTTCACGCGAGCGAAAATGAGACAATCGGATCAATATGGAAGGATTTGATTGTCGTGCACAGGGGGGGGGGGGGGGGGCGATCCCGGGGGACGGGGGGGGGCACGTCCCCCCAAAGGATTATCCCCCTGAAAATTAAAAAAAAGTGCAACAAAATAAGTGTATAGCAAATACTGCCTAAAGACTACAACCAACTTTAAGGATCTGGAAGACTCAAGAGTGCAGCGTTTAGACAAATAAAAATGCAAAAATCTTCTCGCTCGGTAGCTACGCTCCCTCGCATAATATTCTTCAGAGTGTACAAATAAATATTGTCGACGGATAGTCAACCTGTTCGAAACGTCGAGCCACTCCCGCGACTCATCCTCTCTAAGCGCTATAGTTCTCCTTAGAACTATAATCTAAGAAAGATAACCAACAGTCTTTTTCAAGACTATAACAACAGTCCTTTTCAGGACTACAAACCCTCAAGATAGATTACCGAAAGTCCTTTTTCAGGACTCCTCAATCCTCCCTCTCTCTCACATGGTGCACCCGCAAGCCTACGGTATATCTCTACATCACCATGCCAGCCGGTACTTACAAGCAGCATCAAGTAAATATTGTAGAAAAGTGAAGTGTGAAAAAGGTATATTGCTTGTTTTTATACTATTGTTTTGCTAAGGAATGTAATTTGTCAATACAACAAAGCTTAAAAAAACGTGTGAGGGGATAGTAACTTCCATCACCGTCACCCCTCTTGTTCACTATGCTCCCTCGCTCTGGCGTAATGATGGGGAAGCTTGGGGCAGTTGCCCCCCGAATAAAATTCAAACTCGGTTTATTTCTAATTCGATACCAGTGATTTCCAAATGTTGCTGAAATGGCATGGTTTTTCCCTGAACTTCCGGAGGCTCTGCCCCTTGGACCCCACCAAGGGCCCTAAGGCGTGCCCCTGGTTGCTCATCTGACCGTAATTAAATGCCTAAAAACCCTGAGCTTCCGGGTAAGGCGGGCCCAGAATGCTCATCTATCCGTTATTAAATGCCTAAAACTCCGCCCCATGACCCCGCCGGGGCTTTGCCCCTTGACCTCAAGCCAATTTACGCTCCACTTACTTCGCTCGCTTTGCTTTACCTGACCGAAAACATTTTAGCCCCCCCCCCCCTCCCCCTTTGAAAAACGTTCCGCGGGACCTAGATGTACCATGTAAAAGTGGGGGTGATGCGGTTTGTTTCTTCTGCCCCGTCCCCCCCCCCCCCCAAAAAAAAAAAAAAAAAAAAAACGTTTTTGCTAATTACTACACTGCTCCCCGTCCCTATAGCATTTCGCCCCCCCCCCCCCCCCCCCCGGTCATGAAAAGAAATCGCCGCCCCTGGTCGTGCACTAATCAAGAACCTAAGGTTACCTGCTTACAACTCTATTCCATATGGTGTTTTAATTATTATGATAATCAGAAAGATTTGATTGTCGTGCACTAATCAAGAACCTAAGGTTACCTGCTTGCAACTCTATTCCATATGGTGTTTTAATTATTATGATAATCAAAAAGGTTTGATTGTCGTGCACTAATCAAGAACCTAAGGTTACTGCTTATATTACAACTCTATTCCATTTCCATATGGTGTTATATGATCAGAAAGATTTGATTGCCGTGCACTAATCAAGAACCTAAGGTTACCTGTTTACGATTCTATTCCATATGGTATTTTAATTATTTTGATAATCAGAAAGATTTAATTGTCGTGCACTAATCAAGAACGTAAGGTTACCTGCTTACAACTCAATTCCATATGGTGTTTTAATTATAATGATAATCAGAAAGGTTTGATTGTCAAGCACAAATAATCAAGAACCCAACGTAACCTGTTTACAATTATATTATTCCCAAACGGTGTTTTTATTGTAGCTTGTTTTATATGCTAAGGAGTGCAATCAAACCATCGGAGTGAAAACGTGATTGGAATTAGTACATACCATCCATGATTGTGCAAATCGATATATGGGGCAGGCAACCCAACGTTCGGTCAGATTTTGGTTTTATATTCAAACAACGTTTTGCGTAACTTTGTAAAGTTTTGTTAACAAAAAAAACCTATAGACGCCGGGCCCTGTATATATTTGAAATGTTGGTTTATTTTGCTGAGAGAATATAAAAAAAATTGTTGCTGAGAAAAAGTCATGTTGTAGAAAAATGGTCTAAAGGAGAAAGGAATAGATTACCCTTTTCTGCTCATTATTGAATACAGGGAGGGGAAGTCCACCCTGATATTAAGTTAGCTTCAATAGAAGCAGAACAATAATTTGGGTTTTCTGTTCTACGCAGAAAATCTAAATTTGTATTCTTTCATCAATATTCTACTTTAAACGTATTTGTTTTGAAAACCCTTGCAGAAATATTTCTTGAGTTAGATACTCTTTCACATTATGATACAATAATTGAGTCAAATTTTGCCGACAAACTTGTGGGGCTCCCAACGCTTAAGAGGCTCTATCCTAAAGTTGATAGGGGAGCACTCTTGGTTAAAAGTTCATTTATTCAGCAAACATTTGATTCGATTTGATTACTGAATGCTTGTAACAAGTATGGATAAACAAATAATAACTTTAGTGTGGATAAACAAATCAGTACTTTAGGAAAAAGTTGGCATTGACAAAACAGAACATTATGGCCCTTTGCTTGTATCTTTACAAGAAACTGAGCTGTGGAATTTTGATTGATATGAATATCTAGTGATTAATTCGGTTGATTATGCAGGTATAGGAATTAATACAAATCAATCTGAAAAAAAAATATTGTGATGCCTATAATAGCTAAGCGTTCATTTCTTGTTGAATCATTCTGCTAGCTAGATCGAAGCCTTCACCCAAGCAAGAAAAATATCAGCATCCAAGTCGGATCTCTCATCTCCTCCGATCGAGAACTTATATCAGTCGCACATCTCAACCATAAGGTAAGCTATTAGTTTACGACTAGATACATTACATTGCGATATAAAAATACAATACGGTGCTTCCATTATTCCAGTATTTTATTACCTTTGAAATTTTCAGAAGAATACACATGATATACTGATCATGTTGATCGGAATTAGCCGGATCTTTTCGTTCATATTCACCTCATTTTGTTTCCATTCAACCCACTTTTAAAATTTCGCTTGAAAATATTTATAGATCCTCTCGGAGCTTATCTGCAAGCAAGAATTTGATACAAGAAATAATCAGTTTGATTTTTTTTTTGTAACCGAAAGACTTGGACAAATCTGAAACTCTTTTTATTTTACTGGCATAGAATTTGGGAAATCTTATTCAAAATGTATATAATAAGTGTAACACGTTTTTCACACTATAAATGTAAAACAAACCAAAAGATGAATAATTAGAATTGAGTTCCTGCACGAACATGTAACTATAGGAAATGATGACTCTAGTTGGAAAAAATATTTTTAGGTATGAATTTATTGTGCTTCTAACATTATTTGCCAGTATTTTATGTAGATCTGTTTTTTACTTGTACTGTTTGAAGTAAGAAATATTCCAAATGATATTATTTGGAAAAATAGTAACATTACCTTTTTACAAAAAACAGTTTCATCGAGAATGGCAAGACGCCTATTTATTGAAAATTTATAACTTGATTACAAATTGTATGTGAAATGACTTTACATTAATTAATAAAAAGGTGAACGTACAACAGCTCTTATTTGATTTTAAATTTACTAAACTAAAGAAAGCCTTTCCGCAATATTGGTTAGATAGATTAAGTGACGTCAATGATTTTGAAAATCGGAATATGATATTTCGAATCTTATAGAAATAGAAACAGGGCATAAAGTAAATGTTTTTGTTATGAAAGTGAAAGATTACTATCGTTTGCTAACACGGAAAAAAATCAAAAGAGCCAATTGTCATTTATATTTGAATTCCTTTCTAGTATTAAGAATAATGACTTTGTTTGGAAGTATGTATTTTCATTGAAAAAAACCTAAAGCAAATTCGAAATAATAAAATTAAACAATTTTATTTCAAGATAATTCACAGGATTCTTGCCTCATTTATTTATATAAATAAATGGCAAATTGTGAAAAAATAATTAATGCAACACCTGTGGACAAGTTGATTTAACGTTTCACTTTATGTCATATTGCAAGGATCATATTTTGGGAAATAATATAATATGATATATCACCTATTCCAAGTAGAACTACAAATAAACCAAATTCTGTTGTATAGGTAGGGACATAGGCAACACGAAAAATAGTCTCCTGAACATAATTTTAAATTGTGTGCAATATGCAATTCAGAAATGTTACGTTACAAAGATTGTCAATGGTTATGTTTTTACCCGCATGCTTTTTTTTAATTTCAAGTCGTTGCTAAGATTTTGTTTAAGGAATGAATGTGTTAGCAAAGAAAATAATACTAAGCTGAAATAACTGTTGAATATACTAAAATATACAGCCAATAATATTTTCAATCAATCATATCTTTTGAAATTATGGAAATAAAGACCTCGCTTGAGCAAAGGGAAAGAATTCAAAAGCTAGCGAAATAGCTTAAATCAATTACATGTCATGTTATACAAGTTCTTCCCTATATTAGTTCATTTATTGTTTTAGTTTTCTAACATATTTTTGTCGTACCAGGAGGATAACTCTATCAAGACATATCATGAAACCCATGATTAACTATTCATACTTCAAACAATACAACTTTTAAAAAGTGGGACATTTTTTCTGACTCACTCTGTAGTACAATGTAATTTACGTCAGGTTTCCGTGATTTTTCATAATGAAATAAAATTACACGCTCTAAACAAATAGAATGATCAAAGCCTGCCAAATGACAACTTTGAAGAATTATTCGTGAGGCTTACAGTTAGAGCTCATTACGATCATTTTCCCTTTCGTTTAAGCTAAGCTCATCATGGCATCGAAGACCATTACCGCCCTGCTCCTTCTCTTCGCTCTCATAGGCGCGGCGAGTGCCGCGGCTATAAACTCTGAGAATGAAGGTGACAACGCGTTAGGCATGGCCATAGAGGCTCCCTCAAGTGATGATGACACGGTGAATGAAGTAAAAACTCGTAAGCAATGAATTTTGAATTCACAATTCATTATAAATTCATAAGACTGGGTGAAAGCATGAGTTTATTTAATGTGCAACGTAATGCTTTTATTTATTGTTCCTATTTTATGCGGTGATAATAATCAAGGAGACATATTTTGTGAACATTTCATTAACTTTACAGTTTTAATACTCACACTTCTGATACCACATTCCCGTTCAGCCATAATCGACTACAAAAATTTCTTTTTCATTCATGCTTACGGAATGAATTCTATTTGATTTACTTTTGTATATGAATTGAGAGCATATAATAATGTGATTCATTTATTTTCTACAATTGGATTTAGCAATCTTTTTATAACCCATATTTGGAGTTGTCTCATTTTCGCTCGCTGGACCACTGCCTGCACAAACGTAGCTTGTTCGACGTCACTATACTACCAAAAGGCTACCAAATTTATTTGCACACATTTTTTGTCACGGGGCCCACATCCAGCATGCCCACATCTTAACTACAGGCCATCTTTAATGCAACATTTCCTTTTGTCCCGTGATTTCACATCTAGTAAAAAGATATCATCATGGCATAAAAATCAATAATCAAACCAAGTTATGCTTCTTTTTTTAAGTTAAAACTGTGGAATGACACATCTGTACCACATTTCGACTTTGTCCTCAATATTATTATTCAACAGGTCCATGCTTGAGCTCCGGCTTCAAGCTCCCTTGAGCTCCGGCTTCGAGCTCCCTTGAGCTACGGCTTCATTCCTGAAGAATGTTAGTATTAACATTCATGATGTTCTTGTAATGACTTTAAGTCCTCACGAGCGATAGGAAGCAATAATAAACAACACATATTATAAGATGGGTAGAAGAATATCTGCAATCTGATTGGTCAATTACCATGTAATTATTTTTACTGGATGCACGCTATATCGGTGATCGATACCACCAATATATCTATTTTTTTAAATAATTCTCTTTTTTCTTTTTTTTAATAACTTTTTTTTTTATATAATTTTTTTTTAAATGATATTTTGATAATTTTTTTTCATGTTTTTTGATAATTATAATCTGTTTAAAAAAAAAAATTAAAAATATATAATTTTTTTTTTTTTTTTTTAATTTCATGATGTTAAAAATCATGCGTCCGGTAAAAAATTCATGCGTCCGGTAAAAAAAATTACCGGACGCACGATTTTGCCATTCATCCGGTAAATCTGTAAAATAACAACATTTTGTAATTTCGACAATTTTTGGGGCCCCATCTTATAAAACAGATGATGCACAGGTTTAATTCGTGGGTCGGTGGAATTGTGTGCACGCGGTACCTTTGAATTTGGTCTAAAACCATTCAAAGGTACCTTGTGCACACAATCCCTACCGACGCACTCAAACCTGTGCATCATTTTGTATATGCCTACATGGCATTTGCAACGAGAAAAAAGTTACGTTTGCATTATGGCGATGTGAGCTTTTAATGATGTGAATGTTATTGTTGGAGTTATCATGTTGAAGCCATGTACGGTTTTGTTATGAGGCCCTACACATTTGCTAGATTTCGTTCATGATTAGTTCATAAAGAGATATAAAGTAAGTCTTTATGATTTTGTTCTCTTTGTTTATATTTAACAAGTGAGAGATGTAAAATAGTTTACATTCAATAGGCCCTGAAAATTGTCTCGTGCGACAACCATGCACGTGTAAACCTTGGTAGCTGTGAACCCTTTGATATTTGTACGTAATGTTGGTGTGTTGGACTCTGTCAGGAATACAATAATGATTTGCATCCTTAAATTTACGTTCTTCCAAACGATAAAATATACATTAAACATAATTGAAAAGCATGGTCTGAACCACTAATATTATAGCCATAGAGTGGGGTATAAAAGCAAATGCCCCCGGTGTGGCATTAAATATATATTGAGGGATTTTAGTGCCCGGGCAAGCTATTGCCCCCCCCCCCTGCCAAAACATATGTATTAATGACCATTTATTTCTATCCCTATTTCTGTTACTACATGTATAATTAGGAAAGTAATGCCTTTTGTTTTTTGATCGTTAAAGCATGAATTTTCTTTCCTAATTCGCTCACTACGTTCGCTCGATTAAAAGAGTAATCTACACTTGACTGAAATGTTTCGCTTAAAAAAGTCGATCACAAAATTAAGTAGGCCTACTTCGAGACCCAATGATGAATGCTTCTTCAAACAAAAACAGAAAAATAGTTATTTAAATAATGTTATTAGTGAATCACTACGATGTGAATAATGTCTCGAATAGAAAAGAGTATGGACAGGCGCGTGTCATGACATAATAACCAATTTACATCTTCTTTATCTTACAGGAACGTGGCATCTTGTATTGGAGATTCAAAAGCAAACACTTGCACACGCACCTGCATGGGACTAAGTGGACTTAACTCAATCATCTGATATTGCAATTCAATTTCATAATTCTTTTTCTTGTCATGAATAGATGACAACTTGTTTGATTACGTTTATTATCATTGAGACACCCTTTTCTTTCATTTATTTGTATACTAGCTCATATGTATGTATTACTCTGTTATCATATCGGATGTAAACATGTAATTATGCATGACATACTGTTAACTTTTTTTTAAAATTGGAAGAAATAAATGAGAGCTATATGCTCTCTCAATCAATTGTTCACAATCTCTTATCTCTCATACAAGTCATATTGCTTTAGGGTATGCCATATCGACTATTCAAATTCCAACCGATGTAAACGGTGTGTCACCATTATGCATTAAAAAAAAGAAATAATAATTTCCAATGAAAACAGAGAGATAAACTGTCATATGCGACTATACCATGGGTGTCGATCTGTAATATTGATACCTATTGTTCAGGGGGGATGATCTATTCATTCACCCCCTGAACAATAGGTATTACGTAAGGATCGACACCCATGGACTATACTGAAACCGAACATTTGTTTGTACATCTCATTGGAGGTATTTACTGAGGAGACTATAATTATGATATTATTTCGTAGTTTTCGACCCACAAAGGAGGGGTACAAAGAGTCAATACATCAACGGTTCAATGTTGGTCTGTTAACTGGGTCATGCCTTGATGGATGGGGGGCGTCTAACTTCATCACATCTATCTATATGTGTGGGATAAAAGCTTATCAACGAAATTCATTCATTAAAAGGCATTTGTATGAGAAATATTATCCAGTGTTATGCATTGCCTAATTCTCCCTGAATAAAATCAAGTAATATGATATATATCAGCTGAAATGTCCCGTTTCTGTATACATCGACATTGTTCCGTCTGATTCCTCTCTATCTTTCTATCTCTTTAGATTAAACTTCATAGCTTTCTTTCTAACATTAATTCTCTTTTTCTCTCTCCTTCCCTAAGGCTTCCTCGCTTTCTCTTTCTCTCATGTTCGCCTATATTCTACAAACTATTATACATGTATATCGATTATCTACATTTTTATTTCCATTTCTTCATCCATCCAGGAGGTCGAAGTAGATGGAGAGTGAGAGAGAGAGGGGGAGGGAGAGGGAGAGAGAGAGAGAGAGAGAGAGAGAAAGAATCTTTAGATAGAAATAGAATGTGTAAAAGGTGGAGAGGAAAAAATATGAGAGAGAGAGAGAGAGAAAGAAAAAAAGAGAGAGAGAGAGAGAGAGAGAGAGAGAGAGAGAAAGAATCTTTAGATAGAAATAGAATGTGGAAAAGGTGGAGAGGAAAACATAATTATGAGAGAGCGAGGGAAAATACAGAGATCGGTTAAGAGAGGGAATATGGAAGCAGAAATATATAGAGAGAGGAGAAAGAGAAGGGGATGGAATGCTTTTTAAAGAAGAAAGAGGTTGAGAGACTGAGGGGGAAATAGAGAAAGATCAAGTGTTTGGGGCATTGGGAGTTGGGGGAGCAATGCAGGCGCGTACGCAGGGGGGGGGGGGGGGGGGGTTAAACCCCTTTTTGCATTTTTAATGTGTGTATTTTCGAGGAAACCCCCCCCCCCCCCCCCTTTGGTATTATTTTTTAAAATTATGCCAATGGTTGACCTAAAAAAGGTGACCTTATTAAGCGGCTGGCTGAGTCGTTGCGATTTTTTTGAGAAAAAAAAAAGTTCTCTTTTTTATATCCCCCCCAAAAAAAAAATGTTCAGGTGGGGGGGGGGGGGATGGCCTCTACAATCACCCCCCCCCCCCCAATAATTCACCATCAACAACAAAAATGAAGAGAAAAATTAATGATGAGAGCCCGATGAGAGTAGTTAATGGTTATTACTCGCAAGATGACCATCAATATACACATTTTGCTATCACATTTTCACAATACGTACATATATAAAGAGAAAACGAAGTAAATGAGACAACCGTATATGAGACAAGAATAAATTGAATTCTCGCTCATACGGCTTCTTCAGGAATTTATCAATTTATTCGATTTATTCAATCAACAGCATCATACAAAGCCGCAGCGTTAAGCGAAGCGCAAAAGTGCAAAAAAAGAAGTAAAGAGTGGGAGAGAGAGATAAGGAGAGACAGAGGGGATAATAACCCAGGTAGCAAGTCCATGTGGGACCCACATGGGTCCCATATTCTCTGAAACATGGCCCCATATGGAAAACCATCTGGGGCCCTTAGGTATCTGCACCCAAGAAGCATATGGTGCCATATGGGTAAACTATATAAGACAGATGGGACCCAGATGGGACTCATACCAAACTGGGCCCATATGGGTATGCCCAGCTTAATCCCACCTGGTACCCATATTGGTTAACCCAGATAATATATCCCATGTGGGTTAACCCCAAATTTTCCCATGTGTTACCCATATGGGCATATTCTACCCATATGTGTACGCCCAGCTCATTCCCATCTGGGACCCAAAAGGGCTGGTCCAGATAGATCCCATATGGGTTACTAAATATTGGCCCCATATGGGATACATAGTATGGGTTCCATTTAGCCCAGATGGTGACCCAGATCATCCCCCACCTTTCTACCTGGGAAAAAGGGAAAAGGGGGAGAAACGGGCAGAAGAAAAAGGAAGGGGGAAGAGAAAAGGAAGAAAGACAAGAGAAAGACGGTTTTGTCCAAATGGCAGCATGTAGGAGACGAACCTTTCAGTTTGTTCCCTGATTCATACTCCGTGTCCATTTTGTTTTATTGAGTTCATCCATTTCTTTGTTTATTTATATCTCTACATGTGAAACATTTGAAGAGCTATTTTCCGAAAGGAGCAAAATCTTTTGATGATATACATTTTCCTCTATTTACCCTGAACAAAATTATTAACCTAAATTAGGAAAGAAATTATGAACACATACAAATTTCCATAGACACCTGAACAAAATCGAGTAAACAAAGAGTTCTTTCTTAAGTTATACACATGTATCTAGTGCCTCTTGAAAATAAGCTCTTTGTATGTACATAAACAAGCAATCCAACAGAATACTCCAGTTGGATATTTTGGAGAAAGATTATTATGTCACAACTTATTTTTGTTTTATTGAATAGCTGATGAAGCCTTATGTATTGTATTCAAACGTAACATGCATAAGATAGTTGAGGTGTTTTTGAAGGTTAGAATGTTATTAAGTTTGAAGTTTTGTTTACACCCTTCCAATAATAGTGCACCTTCTAAGAATGGTTGTAGTTTTTGAAGAAAAATAGTGCTCTGGTCAGGGCCTTAGGGTAATATTATGCTTATATTTTAGAGCGTATCTGGTATGATAAGCAGAAGCGGATCTAGAGGGGGGGGGGGGGGGGGGGGTTGGGGGGGGGTTGCAACCCCCCCCCCAAAAAAAAAAATCCGGGGACCATTTTTTTAAATCTTATCTTTTTTTTTAAACTTGTAATTTTATTTTATTCTATTTCTATGTATTTATTTCATTATTATTATATATTATTATTATTATTATTATTATTATTATTATTATTATTATTATTATTTCTTTTTGGGGGGAGGGGGGGGGGGGGGGGGGGCGAACAAATGTCACAGAGTCCCTTGCCCCCCCCCCCCATCAGCTTTTTTTGAGGACACGGGCCACCGCCGAAGTGACAAGCTAGGCCAGCGTTGCCGATTCTCATCCCCAAAATCCCCACATTAAAAAAAAAAAAAATTGGGGGATTGTTGAAGTCTTTGGGGATGAAAAATAAATATTTGGGAATGAAAATAATATTGAGTTTTATGAAAAACGAATTTGGGGATTTTCTGTCAAAATTTGGCAACTTTGGGGATATTTTAAGTGTCGTTTGGGTGGGGATTTTGTGAAGATTTAACCTGGCAACGCACGCTGAGCTGGGCTGCTCATTTCCTGGATTACTTGTTCAAGTTGCTCACTTGGCGGGGTTCAAATAAACACCCCCAAAAAAATCGGCTCGCCGCTTCGCGGCTCGTGGACGATGCTCCGCATCGTCATTATTTTGGTCAACCCCCCCCCCTTAGCAAAAAGCTAGATCCGCCCCTGATAAGTATATCTGGGTGAAGAAGGAGATAATGGAAGTTTTTTGTTTGGTAGTTGGAACTTAAGTTTTATATTATGTTTTTAAGAAAAAGACAGTTTGTATGAGATCAGGAGAGGAAATTTTCTGTCATTTTGAGAACCGAATTTTGCATCAGTGATATTCTGTTTCATTGAATTGAGTTTTCCGCACAGAGGATTCAGTTGGTTTAATTAAAGAAGGAAGAGAGCCAAATGAAGAACCAAAAGCAATATGTTTTCATTTACTAATGAGAACTATGTTTTTTGAGATCTCCTTACACAGAATATTGGCATGGGTTTTCACGATGAATGTTGTTTGGAGACATCAATATTCATAAAATGTATGTTTCTATCACCAGGAAATAAAGAATTTTCTGTCTACATGAACCTTTCCTTGTTGCTCATTAATGCATTTGCCCACTGGTCACATAATATTTTCACAAGTTGATATCCCTCACTATTGGATTTTGTTGTTGGTAATGTCTAAATTTCGTTTAAAAAATGGATGATATCAGTCTGGTAGGCCTACACTGCAGGCAAGAGTCAGGACTAACATTTAGCATGTTATTAATGTTATTACCACTCTTATATTCTCTGAAATGTTATTTTTTATTGAGGGTGACTTGAAAAGTTAATATGTTGGAAGGGAGCGGTGCAACTTGCCACACGCTTCTTCGCTGCTTTGATCCATTGCCGAAAATATTTTGGCACCTATCACCCCCCCCCCCTACCACGGATACAAATCGACACCCCTGTACGTGTACTGTATTACTCTATCATATTCCGATTAGCATGATTAGAAAAAACAATGCAAGTTCAATTTTTCATGAAGGGTTATCTCTTGTTGACGATCATATAACACATCTATGTGGGTAAAATAAAAACTTGTATCTTTATCAAGGTTTCAAAGTCCACGTTTGTTGACTCAAAAGATTGTCGCATATAAACAAATGGATAAAGGCACCTAAGAATTAATGATAAAACAACCACTACGTTTCGTATGAAAGTCTAAATATGGGTGATATTTGAGGTTGTCAATCAGGACTTCATCGAAAACGATCCACAACAAAAATGGAGTTTAAGAAGATTACACGTCTAGCAGTTTTTCTGTGCCTCTTCTCCGCTGTGCTGTCTATTAATGTGCAGCATGGAAAGCACGAAAGGCTCAAGAAATCTACGAAAATGGAGGAGGCGGTGATGCATCCCAAAAAGATCTACCAACGAGCATCTACACCGCCAAAGGAATCACCTCGCAAAGGCGCTTCTGCTGCTGACGACGACGCTGATAACGGCGAGATCTCTCAAATGCTCAACGACGAGTTTATGCGGCGAATGGAACTGGATGATTCTAAAATGCATGATCCCCCTAAGAAATCTACAGAAATGGAGGAGGCGGTAATGCATCCAAAAAAGATCTACAAACGAGCATCTACACCGCCAAAGGAATCACCCCGCAAAGGCGCACCTGGTGATGACGATGATGCTGATATCGGCGAGATCTCTCAAATGCTCAACGACGACTTTATGCGGCGTATGGAACTGGATGATTCAGAAATGCATGATCCTCCAAAAATCAAGAAAACTTCAAGACCACTAGAGGGAATGGACTTAGATGGTATGCATCCAATTAGGCCTGGAGTAGCTGGAGTTCAAGCCAAAGATGCAAAGTCTGTTGATGATCCAGCCATCAGGGATTCTGATCTATTTTCCGTCTTGGGACAGGATATATTACAGCAGTTTGACTTTGACGACAGCGCCATGCATCCAAGAGGGGTTGCTAAGCAACCGTCTCGTTCCTCTACAAAGTCCAGAGCTCCCGAGATGGACGAGCGCGTCATGCATCCCCATGCCGCCAACAGGGAGCAGCAAAAGGACACTCCCGCGATAGAACCATCAAAGGAGGAAGATCCTGACATCTCAACCGAGCTTGGTGAAGATTTCATGCAACAGTTTGAGTTTGATGACAGTCTCATGCACCCAGACCCAGCCGATGCCCGCGTAGAGTGGAAGAAGTCGTCTTATTACAACGGCAGGGATAAAACCGCAGGCCTTCGAATGCATCCGAAGGCGGCTCCTCATCAGCAACAAGGTGCGGAGGATGTGGTGAAAGACGACGATGTGGATGATGAAAAAATCGATGCCGATGAGGAACTTGGACACGATTTCATGCAGCGTAAGGAAGTAGATGGCTCTGGCATGCACGATCCGAATTGGCAACATCGGGAAGATCCTGAGAAGTTCCAGAGGATCAGGAGGAGTAATTCCCGTCGCCTAGACCGGGGCATACACTCTAAGAAATATTGAGTAAAATTTTACTCAAAATGAAGTCGTATGGGCACATGGTCAGAATTGAGTAAAGGTTTTTAATCAACTAGATGGGTAATATTTTACCCGTTATTGAGCTTTGTTTTACTCAGTGAATAGTAAAGTGTGTTTTACTCAAATTTCAGGTAATTTTCTTTTTACTAAAATAAGGCCAGAAAACTCCTTTCACAATGCTCCTTGTGGTTTAATTGATGTTTTACATCAAATTTGACCATGTGTCCTTTTTCATATGTGTCATGTGTAAACGTCATTTTAGTCATAAATTAGCAATTCATTATGTAAATCAATTTTTATTTGGTAATGTCATCATGGACCCCAATGTTCCTTTTTACAGGACATATCTTTAAACTCTGCTGAAAATGAACTCCAAGGCCAAGACGGAATGATGTTATGTTATGAAATTATGCATATAAATAGAGCCTCAAAACCAGTATGCATGAAACTCACAGAAAAGTGGAATATATATGCCAGTATATAATTGTCCAAATTAAAAAAAAAACATATCTGAAAAAGACTCCATAACGTTACAAAGCAGGCGGTACCTTAATGCCGGTGTGTAGTTTACAAAAAGATCTTTTAATTTCTTCATCTTATAACAAGAAAGCAAATATTAAAATGCATATCAAAACACAGAACATTAAAAAATCTAAGGAAATTCAGCCTAAAAAAAAAAGAAGGGAGAAAAAAAGAAGCCCAACATTTATTATTGTAGAAACAAGAAGTAAAAGGTAGTTGCATAATTAGAAAAATAAGACACTTTTGTATTTAGCAATTAGAGATAATGATCAGATGATTACAGTCTACCCTCTAAAATTTGACTTCAAAAGAACTTCAATAATCTGCAGAGCAAACAAGAAAAAATGGCTCTTGTTCTTTAACACTTAACACGCTTAGGAAAGAAAAAATACAATTTTTTTTAATCTTCAATTTTTCAAAAATTTTCATATTCAAGCTGATTCTAACAAATTTTCGCAGCATGAAAGAGTATGCAATTTTGTGTCAAAATTGAAGAAGGCTGAAGCATCTGTTACATGTAATTTCTCATTGTTTTTACAAAAAGAAAAACACTAAAAATGTAGCTGATAGAAACCGTGGTCACTATTATTCTGGCTTTTTCACTAATGCACTCACACCCAATATCCACTCAGAATTAGTAGAATGGCTTCATACCAGTGCCAGTTTATGGGTTTCGCAAAAACCATGATGTTTGCCCCATTTGTGTGAAGTAGTCCTGGCCACATGGGAATGTGAATTTTGTTGTATTGGCATATATATAATTAACAAATACAGAAAATGGCATGTACATAAGCCATAAATTTGGTTCACAATAAAAATCTCAATATATGCTTTTAACATTTTGGCTGCATACAACTATAACAATGAAACATGCCCAGGACAATATGCAACACAAGAAAGCAAATATTAAAATGCATATCAAAACACAGAACATTAAGAAATCTAAGGAAATTCAGCCTAAAAAAAAAAGAAGGGAGAAAAAAAGAAGCCCAACATTTATTATTGTAGAAACAAGAAGTAAAAGGTAGTTGCATAATTAGAAAAATAAGACACTTTTGTATTTAGCAATTAGAGATAATGATCAGATGATTACAGTCTACCCTCTAAAATTTGACTTCAAAAGAACTTCAATAATCTGCAGAGCAAACAAGAAAAAATGGCTCTTGTTCTTTAACACTTAATACGCTTAGGAAAGAAAAAATACAATTTTTTTTAATCTTCCATTTTTCAAAAATTTTCATATTCAAGCTGATTCTAACAAATTTTCGCAGCATGAAAGAGTATGCAATTTTGTGTCAAAATTGAAGAAGGCTGAAGCATCTGTTCCATGTAATTTCTCATTGTTTTTACAAAAAGAAAAACACTAAAAATGTAGCTGATAGAAACCGTGGTCACTATTATTCTGGCTTTTTCACTCATGCACTCACACCCAATATCCACTCAGAATTAGTAGAATGGCTTCATACCAGTGCCAGTTTATGGGTTTCGCAAAAACCATGATGTTTGCCCCATTTGTGTGAAGTAGTCCTGGCCACATGGGAATGTGAATTTTGTTGTATTGGCATATATATAATTAACAAATACAGAAAATGGCATGTACACAAGCCATAAATTTGGTTCACAATAAAAATCTCAATATATGCTGTTAACGTTTTGGCTGCATATAACTACAACAATGAAACATGCCCAGGACAATATGCAACACAAGAGTTGCCCTCATATAAAAACCAATGCTAATTCAAAATGTTACAAATTCGAAGAGTTGTTGATTATTTGAGAGAACAATGGAGAGCACATTGCAAGCATCTTTCTGTATGATTGGTTTTTCCAAAGAACATGAATATGATGTTATTAAAATCCTAAGATAACAACAGGAATTGTAAATCTAAAAACTGTGCTGCATTACCAAGTGAATAAAAAAAAACTAAACACTTAGAAAATTTTCATTATAAAGAAAACCAATTTATGAACCCCAAATTATACATATTTTGGAAGAGTAACTTTTCCCGCATCTTCGTCACCATTTAATGTGGAATGTGTTTACGCTTGGTTGAACATGGTGCATTGTTTGCGAACATGTATAATTCGACTTGTGCCAAAAAATCAAAACAACAAAAAAGCAACTCCATCCTGATCAAAGTGGCATAACATTTTAACGAAAAGGTTTTGAGCAAAGTAACTTAGCAAGAGTGCTGTTACACCTATCGACTAAATTCTGTGTAAAGATTAGATTGATCTATCAAGTTATTCTATGAGTGAGCACACATCAAAGAGAAAATGGTCACTTATAGACATAAAAAGGACTATTGATACTCTTGAAAAGTGATCATTGTTTTCTTTGACGTGTGCTCACTCGTGAATGGCTCCACGGATCTATCTCATTTTTTTACACAGAATGTAGTTGTTAGGTGTAAGAACACTTCTTTTAAGTTAATTGCTCAATACTGTTCCGTTAAAAAGTTACACCAGTTTGATATGTGTGGGGTTGTTTTTTGGGGGGTTATTTCAACTACACCCCTACTTTGACACTTTTTACATCTTTTGATCAATGTGCTATGTTCATCCAAGCGTAAACACATACCACACAAAAATGGTACCGAAGATGTGGGAGGAGTTACTCTTTCAAAATATTATAATAGTTTGGGGTTCATAAATCTGTTTTCTTTTTAATGACAATTTTCTAAGTGATCATTTCAATTTCGAAAGGCCTGTTGATAGAACAACACATTCCAAGGCTTTATTTCTGGTTGAAATGGTAATATGCCCTGAAGGCTCTCACTGCACCAGACTCTTGAGCTCCTGGTTTGACATCAAAAGCAATGGTGTCCATCACGACCCACATTGCTCTTGCCTGGCATGGATACTGTAGATCAAAGATCTGAAAGATCTTGTAGCACAAATCTACAGCTGCAACGAGACTCTTCTGCTCAAGAACGTGGTGCTCCAATACAACAAAAGTCTGAGCTGGATTGCAGAAGTGTCCTCCTAGGGCTAGGATGAAAGGTTGGTTCCTCCCATGCAAAGATTTGTATGCCTCTACATTGGTCCCCTCCTGACATGAAAGAAAAGAAAAAAAATTGCCACCATGAAATGTGCATAATAATTGCTTGTAACACACTCTCATATGCTGAAGTACAGTTGAAATGTAATGTTAGGTGCATCAGAAATTATCCAGGGGGTATTATTACTTATTTGACTGACCATTAAATCTAATCTTTAAATATACAGTGACATTGTTATCGACCAACTTAGTTATTCCTGGGTATGGAAAGAAACAATAGTGATATTGTGTCTTGGAAAGTTGCAAAAATAAGTAGAAATATCTCCAGCTAAGGTGCCACATATATCCACAGCCCATTGTGAAATATTTGCCATAGAATGTATCATCCCACAAAATTTGAGAGAAGGGCTATTTCATGTAATGCTTCTCACTTTCACCTTCTTACCCTCTAACCACTTCCCCTTCCCAATCTACCAAAAAAAAAAAACAGTTCTTTTTTGGAATGGCCATGAATCTTCTCATTGCTATAATTACCTTTTGAAAGTCAATGAAATTATCCAAGGCTTCTTGGATGGAAGCTCTTCCTCCCTTTGTTGACTTCTTTCCAGGGAACAAATGCGAGAGAAGGCAAAATGCCAGGTTCATCCTCTCATCTGTATCAATAATATTAAAGAAAATTTCTTTAGACTGATGATACATGTTTATCATATTTTCATGCACTATTTGACTCGGCCTTCATTGTATCCATCGACTTAAAAAAAAATATTTGTGACGACTTTTAATGCTGAAATCTATAAATGAAAAAAAAAAAAAAAAATAGATGGAATCACAACTGCACAGTCAAAATTAACCCCTCCCCCCTTCCGATGTATATATGGGTTTGTTATTTGTTCCTTCTTCAAACATAATGTAAATAAGATTTAATCTGAAAACTTGTTTATTTTGGTACAAACTACTCAATCATAGATTTTCTTCATAACACAATAAGAACTACAGAAAAACTTTGGGTGATGGTGAAGCGAGCAGTACAATTATTTGCCAATTTGCTTACTATATCTGTAAACAATATCATACCTTGACTGAAGTCTGTGTCTTTTCTATGCTGAACGTTAAATCTGGCCTTCCACCCTGGGCTTACTCGGTTTGCATATTCTAGGATGCACGCAGACACCACCGGCCACTTTGTATAGAGGTGCTTTCCTCTCCCCGAAAACAGCATTTCGTAGTCTTGCTCAATCTATGAATCAGAAAGATAAAATCTATAGCATGCATATCTCATTGTCTTTTTTTTTACGGGTGTATTTGTTTTTTTCTTTTGGCCATGTATTGGCCTGCATCAATTTGACATGAAAATCATAAGAATAGTACAAGTAAAACAAGTCGTGCACAGTCTGCAATGTGATCCAGCAAATACTTGGGTGGGTGAATGCATATTTACAAGATTAGGACTTCAAATTAAATAGATATTGAATAAACTGTATCAAAATTTATCCCAGTCAAATTTGCTTAAATGTAACATTTTGAATCATGGAATTCCTCTGGGAATGAAATCAACAAAAAAAAGATAAAAAAGAAAATATAGATAACATGTCTGGACAATTAATAAAGTGGGTGAAATAAAAAAAAAAAAGACCCTAACCTACTTTTCTAACCACTTCACTGGACGATTCTTGAGGAGTTCTTCATACAATGTCATTTTCAGAATGTGTGCAGGTATTTTTTTTTGTTTTTGTTGAATGCTCCATGTAGATATAACAGAAAAAGCAGTTATTTTTATGTGTACATGCGTATATCACATACATACATCTATAACCGACTGTATTAATATCCTTCATCTTGATTTCGTTAGATAAGGGACCTGCTTATTAAACCGTAATGACAGTTAACAAAGGTAATGAAACATTTACTTACCATTCCAGGGGAAAGGAGATGTGGAAACTCATCCAGCACTTCAGCCACACAAGGCTTTTTCCTGGAACTTCCCGGCAGTGTTGAATGTACAAAGTCCTTTCTATATGCTGATGTCAGCTGCATTTTGGCCACAACATCTTTTTGGGGGGTGTTATGACTTTTCAACCATTCAGTGATGACTTTCATGTCTGCAAGATCTGATCAATAATAATGGAACTCTTAAGATATCAATCATTATCAAATCAAGCCCGAGTTAAAATGGATGAACCTCCTGTTCATCCTAGTATTTTTCTAACTTTAAGCTGTATGTTTTATCAGGCAGCATTAAAATTTAATTTGGCTGCTAATTAGTATCAAAGTAAACAAGGTTTTACCAGGTAGTATTTGACTTATTTTTTAATACAGTTAAACCTGATTAGTCGACCTTTCATACGTCAAATATTCGCCCAAGTCAAAGCAATCTTTAAGACCAGATTATGCAAACATGTGTTAATGTATACTCTTCTAGGTTAAATTTCTCCCAAGCAAAACAGATTTCTATGGTCCCAAAAGATTCAACATAGCCAAATTACCTGTAATTGAAAAGAGTGTCACATTACCAGCATTTACTCCCTTCAAGAAGAGCTGATTTTGCTATAACATGCATTTGCCAGACCCCAACCAAAGAAATTAGTACTTCAATGGGACAAAAAGGAAATACAAAATTACATTCAACTCGAAAAATGCAAAGAAAGTCGGATCCCTTTCTCTAAGTTTTGCTATAAACATGCCCATGGCGGCCAAACTATGAAAATTAACACAATCTACATATAACAATGGTTATTTACTACTTAGCTTGAACCCCGGGAACAAATTTTTTGCTACTGGGCAAGTATTTTTTAAGCCTGCTTGACTATCCAAAAGGAGAACCGGAATCAACTGGACCAGTTACACCAGTAAAAATTCAACTGGTAACTCTGGAAATTGGAACAAAATAATACTGTTCCAGTTGAACTGGACCAGTAAAAATTCAACAGGTTGCATTAGACTGTTATATGCTTTGGAAATTATTGGTAACATCTGTAAGTGCATACCATAATTCATCTGAGGAGATGCTAGATCCTCACTGGAAGATGTTGAAGCTATATCCTCAGGACTGCCAACCCCGACTTGCTTCTTGTCTTTCTCCGCTGTTATTCTTCTTAAATACTTGAGTCTATTCTCTATCCTACCACCTGCAGGACATTTGGAGCTTTTGAAGTACCATTCCTCCTTTAAAAAAAAAATCCTGTGCATTAGCATGAATAATGTAACAATTCAAGGAGTAAACTATATAGCCATAACTTCAAATAAATTACTATCTTCAAAGTTCATGAGAAAATATAAAATATTAATCAGGCCATTATCACATTAATAAAGAGCTAGATGAAAGTAACTCACAGACAGAAAATTTGAAACTGAAACTTCCATCATGAAGCACAAGGGAAAATTTAATAATGTGCTTCCTATCACAATATTCTAATGAGTAACAAGAAATTTTTCTTTGGACTAAAAGGACTTTACTGATATGTGCCACAGATGAGTTTTAATTGAAATACTGACACAAAGTCAGTCTCCACAAACTGTCTACTCACATCTCCATTTCCAGCTGGATCTTTCAGGAAGGGGAACTCTGCGATGATTGAGGAGGCCATTGCCCCTTTCATGTCAGGGCCAGGTCTGTTTAGTAAGAGAAATTAACATTACAGTTTAATGTACATGTACTTATGTTAGAAAATACACATGTGGAACAGTGTCTAGAATGAAATTATTGTGGTGTAGTTGAGCTTACTCCAAATCAAAGGATGTGGTTTGAGCTAACCTAATGTGCATGCCCCAATGTTTCGGTGAAACAGTTCTTTTTCTTATTGAATTTCACGAACACCATATTTTCGTTCTCAAAGACACCGTAAATTTCCCAGGTATGTGTATGTGATATAACAAATAATCTGCACGTACTGTTAAGAAACACTAACAAAGCCCATGAATGTTTTGCTTACGATATTATTTTACGATACTATCTTAAAAGATAGATAAATATAAAACGAAATAAATGTATTTTTAAAAAAATCCAAAATTGAGAGATATAACACGTGCCGTAAAGTAATTTGGCGACAATAGTCAAATCACTGACTAATCGCCAATAACTCAAAACACAACAACAACAACAACAACAGGTTACTTTGCAGCCACAATACTTTGACGATGAAGAAGTTTGACGAATTTGCAGACGGCAAATTTACCTTTATTTCCTGATTTGTCGAGGCTAATATCGCCCAAAGAGTAAGTAATATGAAAGTTAAATATCTTTAATAATGATATGAAAGAGAAAGGAATTTGATAAATTCTAGATACGATGTTTTGAGATTGAAGTTTGATGTCAAAATTGTTATTTACACAGAGTTATCGTTAATGTGTTCGCTACGCTACATGTATTAGCAAGTGAAGAGTGTCAATTTCATAAACAAAGAGTAAAATTGTCTAGTTTGCTTGATAAGATTAAGCCTACAAAAGTACTGAAATTCTGGTACAAAACAAAGGTTTGATTTGTAGGATTAAGCTATGTCAAATTTGGTACAATGTACAAGATGTATTTTGAAAGCCATTTTGTGTTCTTAGTAGGTTTCATGTATTTAAAAGGGATACAGAACAGACGGAACAAAAGAATGCCTGAGAAAAGGGCTGAATGTTTAAACAGGTTTTATAAATGAATGCTGTTAAGCTGCATTTTGCCTGAGCTTGTATTCAAGATATTTTGGTCAGTCAAGATGTAGGTCGATAGGCAAAGGTCATATTTCATTTCGGTCAGATTTATCTGGAATGAGCTCTGGATAAATTAATTTGGATGTTCTTTTGAGCCACAAAAAGAAACAATGCAGCAGTAATAAAGCATGTCATTTAATGATTAAGAAAAAGCAAAGACCATATGTGAATAGTGGAAATATTGTTATATATAAACCATCCAAGAGGTTTCAAGGTTATTTAGTGCTTTGTTAAGCATGGTTTATTTATTCAGGATTTAGTTTGGTTTAAATACAGTAAAGAGCAAATTAGGTAGTTTGAATGAAAATCATACATTTGAAAGATTATACATTGCATGTGTTTTAAGGAGATTTCGGTATTTCCACAGGACGTTAAATTTCTAGTCAACTAGTTAATTGAATTTCTTAAAACCAAGTGAAGCTTGTGATTTTCTGAATTCTTAAAGAAAACATAATTTTGCTACTATTGACGTATAAATAAGTCACTCATGACAACTGATTATTCCATGAAGCGATATATGTTTATTAGCAGACAAGAAGATGTAAATCTCTGAGTATTGCACTAAACAATGTGTTTTTATTCTCTCTGTTTTCATCTACAGATTGAATGATTTGGAAGGGAGTTCCAAAATAAACTTCCATCCTCCATAGACCATACAATATGCGGTGTTAGCCTTGTTATTTGTTGTCTCACTTGACTCAAGGTTACTAGTAGCAGGTATATTTTAAGCTTGGCAAATATCCTTCAGAGCCCTGTTATACCATACTTTGAAAAATGAGATGCCTGATGAGGGAAAGGAGGATTTTCAAATCAACTGGACATGAGAAAGGGACCTAGTCAGGAAGGTCAAAGTCTTGCTGTAAAGTGAATGTGATTTCTTGCAAAAGAAAGAAGAAGAATGCACAATGCAGACAGAAACAAGGCAATAGCATATGAGCCATTGCAAATACATGTAACATTCATTACCTTAGGCCATGCAAGTTTACAAGGTGCTCTGTACACAAATTACAGACGACACGAGTGTTGTGTGGTGCGCAGACTTTCATTCGAGTTACTTCCTCCAACGTTTTTCTTCCTTCCATGGTTTTCTTTAGAATTTCACCCACATCCTATAAAAAAATCAGAATTGCACGAGTTAAGAAAATGTTGTGTGTGTGTTTTTTTTATTTTTTATCATAATAGTACAGGTGGTATTAAATCTTTTCTGGCACATTTCAACATCTTCCAAAAGCATTTGCTAAAAAGGGATTCTTACAGATACAGTGCATGTATTTTTGATCGATTTTGCATGCATAGTAATAAATGGGATAATCACAGCTCAAAATAACATGCAAAAAATGTGCTACCCAGCAGATAGAGTGTTCTTTGTTTTCAACAGACCTTGGTGATAAAAATAGCAACTGGGAGTCAATTTAATTAAATCTCTGAATTCTAAAGGGACTTACAATTTCAATGTTTTTATTATTGTTCTGAACTTAACATCATAGACAGCGTGGCTCTTAAATACTTTGCTCAGGGACACACAGAGTGGTAGACTTTTATTTCCACATAAAAAAAGAATAGATCTGATTGAAAGCTTTCGTTAACGCCATGTGGTAAGCCTTAGGGAAAAGGCCGTTGATATACATGTATCTTTCTTCAAGGGACCCACTTATAGGGCAATTAGAGGAATAAAGGAAAGGAAGTGAATGCAATGGAATTTGAATTTAGAAACACAAACACAAGACTTGTTTTTTAGCTTTCAATTTGATACGTTTTTAGCTTTTTGTTTTGGTGTTGAAAACACTGAAAAATGAAATGAAATGGAAAGAGGAAAAATAGAAAAAGATCAAGATCAGAAAATTTGTGACCAGTTCACAAATTCGAAGAGTTTAGTTCTGAAAAGAACTGTTGGTATTCCTTGTTGAGTTTATTTCTGTAAAGAACGGTTGGTTTCTTGAAAGGTTTAACTATAGTATTTGTAACTATAGTATTATTTCAATAAAAGGAGATATCGACTCGACATGTTTCGAACAGTATGCTCTATTCGTCGTCAGGAGTATAACTCAAAGAATCATTCAGTGCAACTGGCTTTTTATGCAGTGGGAACCGCACAAATGGGTCCGGCGCTAGCGGAATTGTGATTGTTTAACGAAAGCTTTCAATTGTGAATACTCACTCACCATGAAAACCTAGAGAACATTTAGAATAGCCATGATATAAATACACGTAAATAATATAATATGGCCTAATTATTTAGACTGAATGAATTACAATTTTTTTTTTAAATGTGAACTTACGTATCTTACTGCTTTCTGGCGCTTGAGTGGTGGCGTGTCACTGCTGCTGTTCAAATCATTGACTACTGATGAGCATGAATCTTCATCTACTGCAATAGTTGAAGCCTGAGAAAGGTCGAAAGGAACTGATTCCACATCTGATATCATGAAATCATCAGACAGCTCGGGTGACTCCCAGCCCATCTGCATGCCTGTCAGTACAGATTCTGCAGAATCGTTTGCTTTATCCTGAAAGGATGAAAATACACAGTCTGTCAAAAGGTTTCTGCAATTCAACATTTAAATTATTATCTCGATTTTTCACATCATTTTACTTGAAATCAAAATTATTGAAATGTACTTGTAATGTATGTCTATTCTCCTTTGAAAAGATGCTTCTGATTGTACTAGTTCAAATAGCTATAAAATTAAACATTATGGAATGTGTAAGACAACTGAATTACGGTACCATGTCAAAAGTGAAAATTAGTGTTCACTGTCGATGGCAAATTTCTTAATTTGTTTTAGGATAGATAGAGTGTAATTGATCTTGTCATATTGAAGTGGTTCTGCATGAGTGCCAACATTGTATCCTAAAGATAATTAAACACTTTTGAACTAATAGTGTTTACATTTAAGGTGTTTTATACCTTCCATTATTTGAGATTCATTACTGATGGTGTATTGTTTGAAATGGAAATGAACTGACATTCCTATTATATGAATGTATAATGATGCATAGAAGTGCTACAGTAAACAGAGATATGGATGATCAAAGTTAAATTACAAAAATGTCTTTGAGGGGTTTACTTTGCTCCTTCTAAATATTCAGTTCTATGTAAAGGCCATTATTAAGAAAAAAAAATGTACATACACATTTTTTCGTTGAAAGAAAGTACATAAGTTTGAACGGGTATTGAGGAATTGAAACTACAGTGTATTGTACCTGTAAGTCACTTTTGGCTCTGAGTTAACTTTGATGCAGTTATGACAGCATGTATCGGGTAGGAATGTACCACCGATGATCTGCAATACCATGACTCTTCACTGCATGAACAGGTCTGTGTTCAAACAGGTTTTCAGGATCAACCAACTGCAGTGTAGCCAACTCATCTTCTGATGCAACATAGGCTTGAAAGTGATCATGAAAGTAATTTGTCTTCCATGGTTGGATCATCAAATATAGTCTATCCTGCTTTCTCATAAGACAATCAATTCTTGAGAAAGATGGTAGTTCACCACACCAGTCAGTTAGCAACATTATATTAGGTCTGTATGTGTATCCATAAAATGTTACTTTATCACACAATTCTAGTACAGCATCAGGTTCACAGCTCAACAGCTGACATACTTCTGCCTCACTATCAAGATCACACACTTTAACAAATTCTGAACTGTGGATGCATACACATTCGCTGTTGATGTTTTCTTTCTTGAGCATTCTGAATGCTTGATCTTCCTGGTGTTTACGTGCAATTGTTTTGGCAATGTTCTTGTAGTTATTGCAAGTTTTTGCCCACCTTTTCAAAGGCTTGTGCTTTCCTTCTTGCCTCATACAAGCATACTGTGACAAAGGACCTAGCTCTCTCATTGCTCGGGGATAGTGGAGAAGATTGTGATGCTTGGGGAGGAGATGGTTATCAGGAAATAGTTGCAAATACAACTGATGATGCTCACTAATCCTTGACTGCAAGTAGTAGGTAACAGCAATGCTAATGTTTGGTGCTATGACCAGCTGGAAGATTTCCAGAAGAATTGTGAACAACCTCCAGTATTCACACCCTTCTTCAACTTTATCTCCCACAATCAGAGGTATGAATTCAACAAGACAGCTCATCTGTGATGCCTTTTGACCACTTGCTCCAAATGGGTTGTTAAGGTGACTTTGAAGGATGAGGCTGGGCTTGTTTGCGTGTTCTGTTACGCCGTAGCTGAATGACCGAATACGACTGTTTAGTTCATCAAGGCTAAATCTGCCCTGTTGTATGAGCTCAGACAGGACAAGTTTCATCTCAAATGGAAGTAACCCTTCTAGGAAATCGTGCATCAGGTCAGGAGCATAGTTTTGTGATATGTGGTAATAGCTCAGTGAATTGAGAGCACATGATCTCCGGAGTCCTGTTTGGGATACATCTTTTAAACTGATATCATAATCAACGTTTTCTTTAGTACGAAGTAACCTTTCATCAACAACTACCTGTTTTCTGCATATTGCCTTAAGTGCCTTGCAGAACCTGCAATAGTAGTTTGCACTAAAACTTCCAGCAAAGCCAAGTATGGTATTGAGAGCCAAGTTATCACCGACTGCCTGGAGAAGTCTGAGACGAATGGTGCCGTTGAATCCATCTGGACTATCTATATGAAGACCTTCGGTAAAGAGAACTTCAAGATCATCAGAAATACGCTGCAGAACAGCATTAACACCATATTTGGACACAAGAGAAGATTTTGCTAAAGCGACCAAAAGTACATTTTCAAGCTTAGCTTGATATTTCTTGGGCAAAGAAGCAACAGTTAAATAGACTCCAAGAAGTTTGTGTTTCCCTTTCTTTGAACCGAGGGGATTTGCTGTCTCGAAGTCATCATTATAGAGTAACAATTCAATATCCAAACAGTTTTGTTTCCCTTCAAAAGTCCTATAATATGATCCATCTCTATAAGTCTGAAGAACTTCTTTCTCACCAGCACAGTCTTTTTCTTGACTGATGACCGACATATAGCCTGGTTGTTCCAACAACACTTTAAGACTGTCTCCTATTGGCACATACTGAAAAGTTTCATCAACTTGTTTTTGCTCAGTCCTTCCAGTACGCACATTCAAACATTCTCTGTATGCTTTGCCCAAAACAATTTCTTCTGGCTTAATAAGAACTTTACATTCGTGGGCATATTGGTTTTGCTTGTGGACAGTAGATAAACTGAAATAATCAAATGGATCTTTCACCATGTGGAGGACTGACTGTAGACTGTCAATTTTATCATCTGACGGTTTGATATCATGAGCTATGTCCTCAATGACGGGGGCTGACACTTGTAGAACTGCTTCATTTACATTCCTGAGCAGCTCCCGTGTGTCACAAATGATGCTTTGCACAGTAGATGATGGCAGGGAAGAGCTTTTAAGTTTTGCTACATATTCAGAAACAGAATGTTTGATATTTGCTGATATTTCCTCGTTGGGTTTTTCATTTGGCAGCACTTCTGACTGATCTGATACACTTTCATCATCAGAAACAGCATTTCCATGAGAATCTTCATCACTGACATTTTGTGCAATGGAATCATGATATTGTAAGTGCCGCTTGTAGCTATAACCATGATAAAATGTTTTAAAACATTCTTGCACATGACACACAAGTTTTGTTCTGGTCTTCGTATTGATGTTATGGATCTTTAAATGGTTCCATAGATCCCCACTTTTTTCAAATGATTTCACACATTTGCAACACGAAAACATTTTCTTTCCAGGAATATCTTATGGCTGCTTACTAACCTTTCTCTTCCAGTTATCAAAACGGTCAATGAATTTAAGTCTTGGACCCAACTGCGGGATCACGTCCTTCACAAGACTTGCATCAAGCAGCTTGAATGCTGATGAGTCAATGCCACAATCTAAATGGAAAGAAAAAGATATGGTAAATTCCACTTTTTGTAATATCAATTATCAATACAACGATGATTAACTAGGTGTGATTCAATCCATACAGAATACATGACAATCGCATTTTTACTTCAGTCATTTCTATCTAGGGTCTATATCTAAGTTAGATGTAGACCCCTCGGCTCTATACATTGTAGGATCTAGCTTTGTTCTTAATGATTTGAGTCAAATAAAAAACAAAAACAAAAAACACCTGTAGGAAAAAAAATAAATAAAGAGGATTTATCTTTGTTATATTTTGTTTGGTATAAACAATTCTCCCTATCTCATATCATTTCGGGCAAACTCAGAATTCGGAAGTCTTCCGATTTCGGCAGTCTTTTAATTATCATACATACATGTAGGCCTAGACTCTAGTCTAGTCAGTAGCCTAGAATCTAGATCAGATGGAGTAAATATATAAATGCTATACAATGTTGATTCAAGATCAAAGAAAAAGCTGTACTGCTGTAGACCTAGTTTTAACTTAGACACAGCATGCACAGACCAAAATCAGGTACCAGCTAGGAGACAGGACCGCACGCGACCACGGCCGGCTCAGCCCGGGGCTGCGCCACCCAGTACAACGGCTGGGCGTTCGAGCTGCAATACCCAGTGCCCGATCAGACAGTACCAAAAAAAAAAATCATGTTGAAGAATTAGAAAGAAATATATACTCTGGTCTACTGGTAATGCATACTTACTTCTAAAATTGACGATTTGGTCGGTCAGCTCCCATTTCCTCAACAACGAAGCAACTTTGTCGTCCGCCATTTCACCGCTGTGTACTCAGGCTGGTTGGTGTACTAATACTAGATCTATATAGGGCCAGGGCCTTTAGTATATACCGTATGCATGTATTATGCACACATGTTTTTTATCCTATGCGGCCGCGTGCTGTGCAGGGCTTTTCGTGGAGGCAGTGTAAATCTGGGAGTGCAATTTACTCAGAGTTAAGTAAAATTTAATGCCACTGGAGCAAACTTTACTCATCAAGAATGAGCAAAACTAAAAATAGACAAAAATTGGAGCAAACTTTACTCAACAAGAATGAGCAAAACTTAAAAAGGAAAAAAAAAGAGTAAATAGTCAGAGTTTGCTCAATATAGGAGACTTGTACGTTGTAAAAAGTACATTATTGCTCAATATTGAGCACTCTTGTGTTTACCTCGGCGATATTTTACCCCATGGATTTAGAGTGTAGGCTTCCCACTACACGCTTCTTGTGGATTGAATTGGTAAGAATAATAAACGGAATTCTAATATTGAAAACTGTCGTCTGCTTTTATGACAATCAAAAATAATACAGAGTGAATGACAATTTTATTTTCAAAGTGGATTGGGCATTTATCACGAAAGGGTATACCATTTTGGGAAAAAGGGGCGCTGACAAAACTCCACTGAAAAGGCTCAGTAAATTTGTTTACGCATTCTCTCTTGATCTCTTAACCACCTTTAATTAAATGTTTTGTATCTAATTATGAATATGATTCTCGTCTTCCTACACGTACGTATACAACTAATTTACAACTTCTGAGAAATGTGAGGACTGGTGTCCCAAACGATTGCAGTGCTCCCCATCTGGGTGCATGTTTTTGGGCCTTATAGAAAATTATGATTTGCAATTTGATAGATCGTCAAAAAGTCATAGAAATGGCAATATATTACAATTTGACCCAGAGGCCCGGAGCGACATCCAAAGTGAGGGGGGGGGGGGGGGGGCAACAAAAAGGGCATTTTCTGGAGAAAAAAAGGGCACCTTCAAAGGGAAATCTCAAAACGAAAACAAAAATCAGACGTGATGGTCTGAAAATTCATTTGAGAGCGAGGAAAAAATCTAAGATTGAAAAATTACATCTTATAAAGAGGAAAGACCCAATCATGATGGGTTTATAAGCACATTCGCGTTACGGAAGACTGAAAAGGCCTTTGATAAGCAACATAATTATAACATCTATAAAAGCGAGCGAGCGTAGCGATCGAGCTTTGGGAGAAATTGCTCTTAGTCGCTTGAAATTAAGGGCACGTTTAATGATGAGAGGAAAAGGGGACACTTATCGAAAGGGATAAGACACTTATTAAAAAAGAAAAGTACAAAGGCTGATTATCAGAGGTGAAAATGGGGCACTTCTTACACCTAAAAAAAAAGGAAAAGGCACTTATGAGAATGGGAAAAGGGCATTTGTCGACGGAAAGAGGCACCCATCAGATTTTAATAGGGGCATTTAGAAGAAGCGAAAAGGGGCATTTATGAAAAAGGGATAGGTTTCTTATTAGAAAGGAAAAGGGGCACGTATCATTGTTAAGAGGGTAATTATCAAATGTGAAAAGGGGCACTTATCGCATCTGAAAAGGGGCACTGACCATGTATTAAAAGAGGCACTTATGAGAATGAAAAAGGGGCACCAATAATAAAGGGAGAGTTAGAAAGTTACCCGAGTTAAAAACGGGTAGTTATTAAAAGGGGAAGGGGTACTTCTTACAAAGACAAGGGGCACTTAAAGCAAAGGTTCACCCATTAGATTTGAATAGGGCAATTATCAGAGGTGGAGGGGGCGCTGACAAAAAGTGAAAAGGGGCACTTATATCGTACCTGAAAAGGGGGCAATTACTAGAGATTAAAAAGAGTACATATGAGAATGAAAAATGGACACTTATTGCAAAGGAAAATTGGAACTTGTCGAAGGAAAAGGGGTACGTGTCAAAATAAAAAGGGCACTTATCAGAGGTGGAAAGGGGAAGGGACACTTTTACAAGTTAATAGGGGCATTTGTCAAAGCAAAAGGGGCACTTTTCCTTTGTAAAACGGGGCCTTCTTTCAAAGTTTAGGGGCACTTTGGGGCTATTTGAAAAAAAATGGGGGGGGGGGCACTATGCCCCCTGCCCCTTCCCCGGGAGCACCGCCTCTTATTTGACCCATATAGTCATGCAATATTTTGTTCCTGCAGTCCCCTCCCCGTTTCTGTTTTGTCAATATGTTCAGGGTGGTTTTCAATCGAAGAACATGCGCTGTTCGTTGTTCATTGCTGGCCTTATAATAAGGCCTAACTATTTCCCCACTATCCACCCCGTGTGTTGAAAATGCAGGGCGATCACAAGTCATGTCCTCATCCAACCCTAACCTAGGAACGCACCCTCGCCCCACCCCCAACACCCCAATCGGTCAAAGGACGTACCTTAACCCCTGTGAGCGGCGACATCGAACTCTTACCTACATTTTGATCAGCTGGCAAAGGCGAACTCTTAGTCTGATTCAAGATGCAATAATTTAATCATCTAGTTTAAGTCTTCACATTATTACATACATTCATTTATATTATACATTTAAAACACAGTTAATTAATGAATTATTTTTAATAAATGAAAAATAATTTCAATCATTACTATAACTGATTTTTATCTAGCAGTTATGTACAAATTTATACATAGAGAAGACTGAAAAGAGAACAAGCCTCGCTACCTACCCCGTGTGTGGACCATTATGTAGGTACCGGTACTTTTGTAAACAATAACTTATCGTGTGATATAATCATTGCAAATACCGGACTAACTGTCTCGTGATCTCGTGATGGTTAGTGCGAAATACTCGAAGCTACATGAATCGGAAGACGACGGTCTGACATTATCAGATAGATATTTCAGAAGAGGCGGTTTCTTTGGCAAAATGTTGAAAGGAGGAGCTGTATTTTTACTCGTCGGCATTTTGCTGGCATTGTGCAGCAGCATATTCGTGGACGGGTTTGGCTACCCGTTACATGCATCATGTAAAATCGATTGGTGAGTGCATGCGGATAAGCGGATTTAGCTCAGCTCAGCTAGCCCAGAATCAGAGCATTTGCAATTTGCACCATGTGCAGCTAGCGCTAGCAGATATATGTGTGTTGAATTGCACAAGTCAAGAGCGATTGTGAGAAAGGAAATGAATTTGAGGATTAAACCGTAGCAGATAATGTTTGCCAAACGATTCTCTAGTCTTAGCTTAGGCTGCTTAATAGCCGTGTTAACTAAACAAGTTTTCAAATGCATTAAGTCCATTTTTAATTAATCAATTATGAGTCAAACAGCAAAAGGTGGGTGTGCAGTGTGACCAAACTGACCATGGTCATGGACAATAAATATGCGATAGCTTGATCAATTTGAGGGCATGTGAAATATTAAACTGATGAAATTACCTGATTACATGACCCTACGTCTACTCCAGGCTTCTGTTCAGGATTTTTTAAAATTTGTTTTCACTTACTTACCGATACTTTACTTTGGTGTTGGAGCTTCAGCTTATGTGCCCGTCTTTACTGCAATGGATTCACAATGTTTTGTTTTGTTTTGTTAAAAGTTATAAAGCTTGGTCCAAACTGAGTGCAATATACATGTACATTATTTGTATAGGTCTACATGGCCATGGAAAAGGAGGGGGCAATTTGGAAGTGTTTAACAGGGTGGCTCATCAAAAAATGGACTAACATATTTTCAATAACACAGGGCAAATTTTGGCCCTAATGATGTACTTTGGCACCGGGCGTGCTCCATTCTGTCACACCCACACGCCTATTTTGCCTGGTTAGTCTATGGAGGAAACCAATGAGTGTGACAAAATGATGTACAGTGTTGTACTGCAGGTGGTGGTGCGAAGTACTTTAGTGCCCAAATTTCAACAGTACTAGAAAATGGGAACCTTTTTAGAATAAAAATCATATCAAACTTGCTACAATTGGTTGAGTATTTTTTTTTTAGATGCATTTTTGTGAAAGACATCCACTACCAGTGCTCTTGCAGAAATAATAAATAATAAAGTATTTTAATGATGCTTTTTTGTTGTATGTTTAATTCTGCTGTTACACAATCTTTGTTATTGTTCAACCAATGGAAAAAGAAATTATGTTGTATGACAGATGCATCAATGAATTCAATTCAATTACATTTATAAAGTGCCTTTTCATGAGATACAAAGTGCAAAGGTATCATTATTTAGTTTAAAAAATGTTATCATGCTTGAGCGTTGGGGAAAGCTGTAAATAATAGTAAGATTGAACAGAAAAATAACATTCCATACACATTTTCCCTTCTTTTTAAAAACATTTTTATTGCCTTATTTAACACAGACATGACAATACAAATGTTTAAAATGCTGTTTTATTGACCCTGAACACATTTCTTTGTACACTATTAGTATTAGCATGTGTCACAAAGTGCTCCCTAAAACAAAAACCTGTCCATCAAATTTGTCAAGCGTGGTATTATTTTTCATGTTGAAAAACGTGGAAAGATTCTTCAGTATTAGTGAATCTGACACCCACATTATTAGAAGCATGCTAGTCTGTTTTTTTTCTTCTGTTTTTTTTTTTTGGGGGGGGCACCCTGTAAATATCAGCGCCAAGTGTGTTTTGTTACATATATATGTATACTATCAGGAACCAGTATAGATAAACTCATCCTTGATGCACCACAATTTGATATGTTATTGTTGAAATTGGTGAACTGTATTGCATTGACTTATTAATTTCTCTCTTAATATTTCTATCTGTGTTCGTACAGGGTGTTTGGAATGAACTGTTCCTCGGTTTCTAAGGCTCTCGAGCAGCAGATCGCGAAATGGAGCACAAAAGATAATTGCGCTGACGGAGGAGAGAAATGCCTCTACAAAGTGAGTTTTCTTCTTGAAATTCTTCTGTTTTTCTAGTTTCATTTATATCTTATTCCCCATATTCTACTTATTATAATGTTGTACTCCCTCCTCAGTTGTTCCTGTTTCTGCTGCTTCATCGCACCTTCTTCTTCTGTTTTTTTTTAAATCTCCTTCTCCTTATGCTGTTTTTTAAGTTTTGACACATTGATAGACTCATAAATGTATGAGCTAGGGTCTTTATTTGTTTTTCAAAAGTTTGTAATGATTACCAAGATAACCTTGTTTCAGTATAAAGTTTTTTGGCCTTTAAAGGTATTATGTCCCTTTTGCAGCTAACCTCAAATTTTGTAGAACTTTGCAGGAATTATAAATATGTCATGTATGTCCTATCCAGGGCTCAAATTAATTTTTTGTTCACGGGTGCTCTTTTAGTGCTGATGGGGGCTCTTATTTTAATACAAATTTCCATTGAATTGGTACCCATGAAACTCCTAAATTCCTTGTTTTTTATCATTATCATTTATCATCCACGAGCCGCGTAGCGGCGAGGCAATTTTTGTTGTTGCTATTTTGAACCCCCGTAAAGACAGTGATGTTTTCCTGACATCTACTAACATGCGGAGCATCGTCCACGAGCCGCAAAGCGGCGAGGCGATTTTTTGGTGCTATTTTGAATCCCCGTATTAAAGCGATATTTTCCTGGCATCTACTAACGTGCAGAGCATTTTTTTGGTGCTATTTTGAACCCCCGTAAGTGATGCTTTCCTGGCATCAGGCGAGGATCCACGGGCCGATTCTACCGGCCCAGCTCCCCCCCTAGCCTCCCAAACCGGTAAAAAAATAGGATAGTAACATAAATTTTACCTTTAAGAAAATACCAAAAGAACGCCCCCCCCCAGACCTGCCAGTGACATAAATGCGGCATCAAAATATTTGTGCAAAAAAAAAAATTAGTGGTCCTCCTCCTTGTATCGGTAATACTCATAGAGATGGGAGAGATAGCGCCAACTTCGTTCCATTTCATTGGTTTAAGGTTTGAAAATTGATACTCAATATTGTGTTAAAGTTATATCAGAAAAGATAATCTTTATCTTATAATTCCACGGGGGCAATTTTTAATTTTGCAATCGCCCCCGTGAGCAACCTGACGGGGGCGATTATGGAGCTCAAGGGGGCGAATCGTCCCCGTGTATTTTGAGCGTTGGTCCTATCTGTGAAATTTGAACGTTAGGAGATCCTAATATTCAAATTATACAAGGAAACCCGTTTACTTGCTAGACTTCACTGTCAGACACTATTGAGTGAGTGACTGGCTTTTTTCTTCTTTAGTAATAACATTCATGAAATGAGTTGTAAAGGGTACATTACTACATCAATAACCCACTTTTTGTGATGGCCAAAATTAAACTGATTGAATCTTTGCGCAGCATAAAACGTATGACCATTCGGTACAATGGTCTGAAAATCAAGACTATTACTTATTGGCTATATAGCTCCTAAGTCGATTTGACAACTGATAGTCATTATTTTCCGACTTGAAGACATTTTCAAGCCCCACCTTTTTTAGGGAAGTTCTAAATTAGTATTATCTTTCAAATGCCGTTGAAATTTAACCTTTTCATTTTTTTGGTCTGCAAATCTGTGACATAGTACCTTTAAACTATAGTTTTGAATCCTAGATTCCTCTCTTTTGCTGGAAAATTTTGTGTGATAAGTGTTCAAAATAGACTGTATTCCTGATTTTACCTCGAGAGATTCCTAATATTTGCTGTGAAAGGTTGGCAGGTATGTTAAAGTGCTAATGCTCATACTAATATGTTTACATGTGGTCCATTCAAGTACTACAAGGTGCCTGACACACATGATAACCTTGATAAAAATTCATATAATTTTGGTGGATTTTGGTAAGGCCCTACTTTCGTCATGACCAAGACTACTACTACACAGTTTCAGTGTGAACTTGACCTATAATTTTACTTTTGTCAACATTGTTGAATCTTTTCAGCTTGTATCCTCCAATGCTACGACCCTACTCGCCACTCACGAGACACCGGAGAACCACTACTTTGATGACCTCAGCTTCCAGTTTACAAAGGGCTCTGAAACCTGTAAAGTTTATGTAAGTATCAAGGCCTCTAGGGAATAGAAAAAATGCGGAAACATATGAAATTCAGCTAACATTTTTTTGTCTTCCATCTACTTTCATCTGTGGCGAGAATGAAAGAAACCACATTCACAAATTAAAATCATGTCTGTAATCATTGACAAATCTTTTATAGGGATTTTCAACTTCAGAAACATTGTATGCTGTGCTGGACAAATTAACTAATTTTTATATTTTTATAATAGATAATATACCAGTATCAAGTCTCTAATCATTGTAATCTTTAATATAAATGTTCAAGCTCAGAAACATGGTATGCTGTGCTGGACAAATTAACTATCTTTTATATTTATAAAATAGATCATATATCAACATCATTTCTCTAATTATTGAAATCTTTAATAGGGATTTTCAACGTCAGAAACATGGTATGCCGTGCTGGACAAAGGAACCAACTACTGTAATCTTCACAACTTGATCACAGGTATGTTTTGTGTAGGGTCATTCATTGAGGTGGGGGGGGGGGGGGCAAAATATATAACGGTATGAGATCTTCTACTACACATGGAATATGAAATCATCTGTTGAGAATTTGTATGCAATAATAGTGCCCTACCAGAATAATTTCTGTGTCAGTTGCTTCTCTTATAATCTTTGCTAAATATGTGTTTCTTTAATCACCCGCTTTATGTGGACATCACATGTATAATGTTACATTTAAATTTTTGGGTCTATCAGAGCTGCCAACCCTCCCGGATTTTTCGGGAGACTCCCTGAAATTCCACCAATCTTCCGATAGCCCAGAATAGTTGGCTATGCTTTGAGCATAATGATAATAACAAACAACAACATGTCTTTTTTAACCAGGGTAACCTCATTAGTGTTCTTCCTGAGGGCCCTGCAGTCATATTATTATCTCAGCTTTAGCCGAGCTACCAGGACAAGGCACTCGAGCATTCAAAGAATATTTTCCTAGGCCCATTTTCTTCCTACACCTGGGTGAAGAGCAAGAGGACACTTTTTTTTTTATTGGTCTCAAAATTTGGAAATTTGACATTTTGCTCCGTTGGGGGGGGGGGGGGGGGGGGTAAGGTCAGCTTTTTATGCCTCCGCCACCGAAGGTGGTGCCGGAGGCATCATGTTTTCGGGTTGTCCGTCCGTACGTCCGTCCCGTTTGACCGTTATCACAATATCTCAAGAACCATTTAAGATTTAAACTTAAGACTCGGGAATAGTATTTATCACCATAGGAAGACGATCTGATTAGATTTTGGAGTACGTAGGTCAAAGGTCACAGGTCACAGAGGTCAACTTATGAAATTCCTTGTATTGAGTTTGTTAGCGCGATATCTCAAGAACCATTTGAGATTTAAACTTCAAACTTAAGGATAGTATGTATCACCATAGGAAGACGATCTGATTAGATTTTGGAGCACGTATGTCAAAGGTTAAGGGTCACAGAGGTCAACTTATGAAATTCCATACATTGAGATTGTTATCATGATATCTCAAGAACCACTGGAGATTTAAACTTCAAACTTAGTGATAGTGTGTATCACTATAGGAAAACAATCTGATTACATTTTGGAGCACGTAGGTCAAAGGTCAAGGGTCATAGAGGTCAACTTATGAAATTCCATACATTGAGATTGTTATCATGATATCTCAAGAACCACTGGAGATGTAAAAACTTCAAACTTAAGGATAGTATGTATCACCATAGGAAGACGATCTGATTAGATTTTGGAGCACGTAGGTCAAAGGTCAAGGGTCACAGAGGTCAACTTATGAAATTCCATACATTGAGATTGTTATCATAATATCTCAAGAACCACTGGAGATTTAAACTTCAAACTTAATGATAGTGTGTATCACCATAGGAAGACAATCTGATTAGATTTTGGAGCACGTAGGTCAAAGGTCAAGGGTCACAGAGGTCAACTTATGAAATTCCATACATTGAGATCGTTATCGCGATATCTCAAGAACCACTGGAGAATTTTCACTTCAAACTTAATGATAGTATGTATCACCATATCATAATATCTCAAGAACCACTGGAGATTTAAACTTCAAACTTAACGATAGTGTGTATCACCATAGGAAGACAATCTGATTAGATTTTGGAGCACGTAGGTCAAAGGTCAAGGGTCACAGAGGTCAATGAAATTCCATACATTGAGATTGTTATCATGATATCTCAAGAACCACTGGAGATTTAAACTCCAAACTTGTTTAAATTGCTCTATGGCGGAGGCATCATTTTCGACTGCGCGCAGTCAAAATTCCATCTAGTTTAGGTCAGCCATGGGAATATTTTTTTTTTTTTTTTTTTTACTTCATACAAAAAAAAAAAAAAAAAAAAAAATCCAAAGGTTGGGGGGGGGGGGGGGGGGGGGGGGGTTACACATAAAATATTACCAAAGGTGGGGGTTTAACCCCCCCCTCCCCCCTGTGTGCGCGCCTGGTGAAGAGTGTAACAAATGTAGATAAATATTTTGCCAAAGGACCTTTAAAGGTAAAGACCAGTTATGGTCATGCGATTGCATTGTGAAAGAAACGTTGTGGAATCGATCAGAAAAGGTTGTTCATCTAGCATCTAGCATCTGCAAGGTTCTGGAATCATCAAAATGATAAGAAATTTGGCCCATTCTTCGTAAAGTTACAAGCACTATACACAGAAAGATGTATATGGGACTACCCTATATCTCTCACAGACCATGAGAGAAACAAATTTACCAAATATATGAATTAGTAGGCGGTTTCCCGGCAAATTTTTTATCATGTATTAGTCAAGACATATATGCTTTCACATGATTGGTAATGAGAGCTTCCATTTCATTTTTTGAAATTGGGGCGTTTCCAATACTGGTCTTTACCTTTAATGGTGCCTCAGCAGGGCTTGAACCATGAACCATGTGATTCACAGTCCAGCAACATATATCCACTACACCGTGACACCTCTTAGTTGCTTACTTATCTTTGTGTTATGGGCCCTTAAATCGTCTCACTATGTATTTCTTTTTGAACTTTTTGTTTCAATTTATTAGGAAGCGGTTTGAACAATACACCTGGCTACAAAGAAACGACAACGGACAATATCTGTACTCAGTTCTCGTCTGCAGATTGTGATGTTTATTGAGGGACTCGCTAAATCACATATGTTCCTTCACATCACTTAAAAGCATGGAACACTGACCAGTCCAACTGAATAAAAGATGTCATCGAATATAAGGGTTTACACCTAGCAAATTATCTCCGAAATTTAATTTCACTTGTTTTTAATAAAAGATGCACCTATTTGCTGAATATAATCTTGCAAAGTACTAATCAGAGCACAAATCATGGGCATACATTGTCTGCATTTTTCAAAATTTCATACTTTTTATGTGTTTTGTTGTGCAAATTTCTTCCTTTTGCTGGGAAATTGATCATTTTACCGTGCAAGGAAAGCAGCACCAAGTGATGTCATTAAATTATGTATGATTAGTCAATTCATATAGATCAAATATATGAGTAAGAGATATATACATGTAGATTTATTCCTTAAAGGTTTGACATATATGTATATGTATGCATTGATTGTAGCTATAATTCATGCTCAATTTCAAATGCAAAAAATTCTCGTTTTAAAAATTTGTGCAGTGATCTATGCCTGATACTCATTCTAATAAATAAATGTAGCAGTAAATGCTAGAAATATTATAGCAATTACGAGTAAATTCCAGCAATGTACAGTCAAACCTGTCGTAGTGACCACCTCTATATAAAGGCCACCTGTGTAGTGGTCTCCTCCTCTCTAAGAGAAATGTGTGGAGTAAAATCTGTCTACAAAGGCCACCTGTCTACAGTGGCCTCTATTGTTAACCTTTTATGCCTTTAGGCTTTATAGACAGGTTTGACAATTTAAAATTTTCTAGTTGACTTGACATTTTGAATAGAGCAGATCTGGAATAGAGAAATAAGTTGTAATACTTTTGGTCAATTACTTATATTGACTATTTTTATCAAGGATTTCACTTGATAACATGTTTCTTTTTTTCCTCACTGAAATGTTAAGTACTTAAGATTGTTTATCAGAGATTGTACTTACATGTAGACTGTAACAATTGTTAGAGGTGCAGGGTCAGTTAATGAATTTAGCCTTCCAAATTTCAATACATAATACATAATATACTGTCTGTAACATTTAGCAGAAACATAAGTGAATTTTAGTGTAAGAAAATATCAACTTCATTATGTAGTCTACTTGTGTTGTTTGTAATTCTTTTCATATAGTTTTATAACAAATAAAAGTAAATTCAGATTACCTAGATTAACTTGTCTCATATTTAAGAAAAAAACTTCATGCACACATAATAACTACATCATCATTTTATGATGCACGAGTTCTTGAGCGCGCTAATTTTCAATTTTTTAAAGACATGTTTTTTTTAATTACCGGTATTCATTTATTTAATTTTCATATTCTTGTTCATGTGAGCCTGTGCAAACAAGATCTGAACTTTTACTAGATCCAGGCAATATAAATATGTTGTATTACACTTTATTTTATTATTGTTATTTCCACTTTTTTAAAATTTTAAAAATCATAATAATATCAATCAAAGTAATAATAATTATTAATATTATCATTATTGTCATGTATTTACATTTCGGTAGGTCAGAAATTACTTTATTAGGAGGAGTTGAGAGGTAAGAACGGAATATGCAATGCATGTGTAGTGTAAATGTCATTAGAATTCATGAATATGTTTCTTATATTAAACATTTGGTACAATTAATAAAAACATTAAGAATTGCAGTTTGTTTCCTCTTTTCATTTATTGAGTTATACTGTACATTATCAATACCTACTACATGAAAAGTTAGCACTGAGAAAGGATCCATATTCATAAAACCATACTAATTAGCAACTAAATTCTGACTGGCTATGGCAGCCCAATTAGCAACTGGCTAAGATTTCATGAATCTTCTTGATACATAATGCAATTGAGTCTTGTTTTGAGCTTAAATTTACCAATGGTTGATTGAAAAATACAAGGCATATTTAAAGAGCTTAATTCCAAAAGGAGCTAAATCCACTTTCGGTGAAAATATCAGAACATTGTTCACTTTAGTACCTGTCTTTCAACAAATTTATTTACCTAAATTTGGGGAGCAATTATGAAAAAATGCACTTTCTAATATCACTTTTCCGTAGATGTCTGTACAAAATCTGGTAAACAAATTTGTTCTCTGAAGTTACAAAAATGGATTTAGCTCCTTATGGAATTAAACTCTTCATTTGTCTATTGGAATAGCTGAACATTAAGTTTTCAAAATACCATATATTTCATATACCATCATATAAGACTAAATTATGATATTGATTATTTCATGTTGCAGCTCAGATTTAAACATACCCTTCATTAGAGTATAGATCAGTTTATACCGTAGTACATTTCTATTACTCAGGCTAGCAAAATTCTTTACACTGAATGACCAAACAGATGATTTTCCTTTAAATCTAGTGTTCTCTATGATCGATACATGTACATGCCCAATTATACTTGTATTTTTATATACATGTATTCATCAACATGTTCCTCATGCAAGATATGCATTAAAATGATTATCAAAACAAAAATCAAGATAAAGATTCTTTCCAAAAGTAATTTACAATTCCTAGACCATCATGACATATGGGAAGAGATGGGACTTATTCTGGAATAGGGTACCGTTTAGTGCACAGCGCCATCTCATGGTCAACTTGGCAACAGTACCCGGTACCGAATTTCCACTTCGCACACAGAGGAAATGGAATCATGAATGCGAGAACCAACAGCTCAGCTAGGGAAGCAGCGAGTTACGGGATCATACTGCTACAGCTGACCTGACATGGCGCTATAGGGGATTTTGCAGTAGTCCTTCTAGTGCAGAATGGCTAGAAGGACTTGTCTCGGCAAACAGCAGAAATTGCAGAACAAATGTTCAGGGAGTTAATCAATCTACAGACATTGTAAAATTTTGGGAATAACAAAAATGCTTTTTGAAATTCCATTTCACTTTTCTAATTGCTGGTTGTGGAGAATTGTAGATCATTGTCATAGCAATACAAGGATGGAAAATAATCCAAATTAGAATAATAATCATCTTAATTAAAATCAAAATAAGAATAAAAGGTCTCTTAAACCCAGTAATATTACATTAAAAAGCAATGTACATGTACATAAGTCAGGCTGTTTTAAAGTCTTGGAAATGGGGACATGATTTCAAGATGATTCCTTTTAATATAAAACTACCGGAGGATTTAAATCTTGGTAAGTACAGGAGAATTGTAGCTCAGGTAGATGCATGAAGGTCTCTTTAAACTCAATAATATTACATTAAAAAGCAATGTACATAAGTCATGCATGTATGAGTTTTAAAGTTGTGGAAATGGGGAAATTCCTTTTGATATGAAACTGCTGGAGGGTCTTGGTAAGATCAGGAGAATTGTATCTTAGGCGGATGCAAGGAGGTCCCTCATCGACACATCTCGTCTCAGCAAACTGTCTCATCCTCTGTGAAAAATGGTTGGTCTACAATCCACCTTTAAAATGGGAAACTTGATGATGTAAGGCCAACCGTTGCATGCTCACAACCCCTAACCTGGGGATATAGGATAATTTGCAAACTGTTGAGGGTATTCAATCACTCCCTACATGTACATGTACATGTAAATGGCATGCTTGTATGTACGAGCATTGTGCCATACAATACCAGGAAGATCTTTCCTGTAAAAACGGTACATGTATCATATAAATAGTCTTTTAGTTCTCCTTCACATGGTCTGTCCATGGAGCGTCTATAGTTCATAAAGTGCCCACGGTCGGTGAAGGGGTTGTCCCTACAAGAGTGTGTCCTCGTTCCTGAGGTATTCCCCTATATCAGCTTGATGGAAGACTATGATGGACATGGGATCTGTGTGTCTGCATTCCTGAGTTGATTTCGCTGCAACACCAAAGCCCTACATGAAATGCAAACAGAAATGAAATGAGAAATCAGAAAAAAATTTGTTTCTGCTATTTTCCTGTGTTTTCTCTCTCTCTCTCTCTCTCTCTCTCTCTTCAATTTGTTTTCTCTCCCGCTCCCTTCTTTGCCCCCCTCCCATCTCTCTCTTTCTCAGTACGTTTCCTCTGTATTTGATTCTGTTATCTACTCATTTTTTCTTCTTGATGACCTACCATCCTTCAAATAATCGATCTTAACGTAGGCATACATCATTCTTTTTTCCCCACCGCACCAAGTAAACTTTATTTTTTAATTTCAAGTCCATAATCTGAAACCCATAGTCTGAATTGTACAATTATCTTCCTATCTGCTGTTTGATACATTTAACAGCAGAATACTTTAATAAAAGCCAGATATATGTAAGGGTAGTGAGTACCTAATGGATGTAAAACCAACAACTGTTCTAAGTCAGAAAAATGAGAAAATCTTAGAACATGCAATGTCAGTAAAGCCAATCCTGTAACGTACCTAGCACTGACCCAGCAGTCAAGCTTTATTAATGCCCCCACTGCACTTCTTATAGCTACTGGTGCCCTCTAAACAGCAAACAATACCTAATTGGTGACCATTGGTCAACCATGATCCCCTTTTTCTTATGTTAATTGAGGGCTGATTGGATGAGATAACCACCTGTCAGTGACCATGCAGGGAGGTCTAATCCCCCTGGCCAAACTAGTGCAGACAAGTTTTAAGGTACATGTACAATCCTGCACAAATTTCTACAGACGAGACTCACCAGAGGAGCGTCACTCATGGAGTAGATAACAACACCCTGGTACTTGTCAGTGTTCTCTGTAATCCTGCCAAGACCCGATTTCAGAACATGGTTGCCGTAGAGAAAAGATTGCTCTGCTCCTGGTTTCACCCAAACCTTGCACTGAAAAAGGAAAGCATACCAAATGCAACTTTATATTAGTTAAAAGGTCTTTTGTTTCCTCTTTTTTTGGGGGGGGGGGGGTAATTGCCTTTTAATACTTTATTTCTGAGAAGGGCATAATTCAAATTCAAACATGAAAGTCCTTATTGGCCTTGAATAGGCAACGATATAATCAAATATAATGTTTTGGACATCTCTCTTACCCAATTTTAAAAGCATTTTAACAGATCAAGAAGGTTCCAACAAATTTCCATGTATGAAAAAAGGTTATTGAAACAGGTTTGAAAAAAATGCATGGATAAGAACCAAGCAGCATGTGGTCTGAAAATTCACGCATTTCAGTTGATATTTGATACTATCAGTATGAATTCAATTTTGGCATGATCTCTTAATTACCTTCCAATACTTTGTTACTGGTATTTTTCATGCCATCTTTATTTAGGACTTGTTTGTAAAGCTCTTGGCATTCCCATATATGCATCACTCTGACTAACATCTAGGTCTTTCTCAGTGTCACTTGTGTCTGTCTGGGTCAAATTGCATATCAGTCCCTCAAGAATAATCCTTTTTTTCTTAATCTAGCATTTTCACTTGAATTTGTACAACTCAAAAAAAGAGAAACAGAAAACTATGATAGAAACTCACCTTGGCATATGGCGCTAAATAATCCAGTGCTGTGATGTGAAGCCTAAATTTCTTGGTCTTGGAGAATTTGCCAAAGCACGTCCCAAAGCTGATAAGGTTATCCCTGACAACACTAGCAGCTCGCTTCATGATTTCCTCACTGTAAAATAACAACCAATATCAATTACCAAGCACAGGGGTCTGTCTTCCTTTCTTTTTACAAAAAGAGAGACAGTGGTAACAGTTTAATGAGTTAAATTTAAAAATCCAAACTATGATTCATTCCTTGCTAAGGAGTTAAATTTTCTCAAAATGATACTCCCCTCCCTGAGCTAACCACTACTCCCCTAGCCTAAATGAAATGCACCTGTTTGAATAAGGATCTTAACTATAATTACCTTCACCAATTCTCTGAATCCAAATGTGAGTTAACATTGACCCCCGTACCCCATCGATATTAAAAAGAAGGTTAAGTTCTGGGAAGAAGTGAAAAGCAATTTGTGAGCGTGCAAGTGTGGAAGAACATCAGAGGAAAAGTTTGCCCTAAAAAAATGCTAGATGATCATCTTTTTTCTGATTGATTCCACACTGTTTCTTTCACAATGCAATCACACGACCAAAACTCAACTTTATCTTTAAACAGAGCTTGCACAAGATATCTATTATACATACCTGACATAAAACACCCTATCTCTGTGATATCTGAAGCAGTACATTCCATCTGCCCTGTCAATTAAAAGCTTAATATTTTCACCAATGCTGCGGAAACAAAAAATAGTTGCAGGAACATTAGTAAACGGAATTCATGGTTTTATCTTGTGTCTTTTGTTTTCCTTGAGTTTTCTTTTGACTCAACTAGTCTAGTCAACTTAACCTAATAATCCTCTTCCTCCTTCCCTCCTTCTTCTCCTTCTCCTTCTTCTTTTTCTTCTCCTTCTCCTTATTCTTCTTCTTTTCTTTCTTCACATTCTTCTTCTTTTTCTTCTTCTTCTCCTTCTGCTCCTCCTCCTTGAGTCATCCTTCCCCTTTCCCCATCCTCCTCATCCTTCTTCTTCTCCTTTTCCTTTTTTCTTCTCCTTACTCTTCTTCTTTTTCTTCTTTCTTCACCTTTGTCTTTTTTTTTCTTCTCCTTCTGCTCCTCCAGTCCTCCTCCTTGAGTCATCCTTCCCCCCTCCTTCTTCTTCTTCGCTTCTGCTCCTCCTCGAGTCACCCTTCCCCTCTCCTTCACCTTATTCTTCTTCTTTTTCTTCTGCTCCTCCTCCTCGACTCAAGTCATCCTTCCCCTCTTCTTGACTTCTTCTTCTTCTTCTTCTTCTTCTTCTTCTTCTTCTTCTTCTCCTTCTTCATCTCCTTCTTCTTCTTCTCCTTCTTCATCATCTTCTCCTTCTTCTTCTTCTTCTTCTTCTTCTTCTTCTTCTTCTTCTCCTCCTCCTCTTCTTCTTCTTCTCCTCCTCCTTCTTTTTCTTCGTCGTCTTCTTCTTTTTCTTCGTCGTCGTCATCGTCGTCTTCTTTAAAAAATAAAAAAATCTTCAACAACAAAACGTGACAACAAATTGAACGAATGGGACTGATCCTATTAAAATCTTTGATCACAATCGTTAACTTGAGGCATTCCCACACTTTACTCTAAGAAAAACAATACACAACTTACTATTTTGAAAGTTTTTCAAACAAAGTCCTGGTCTCCTCTTCCGTTAAAGGACGCATGATGGCAGAATATGAGAACAAATTACGCTGTTTGTCGTCAAATTTTGCACAGCACTGCACACAATCGCACATGTATGATAATGATGTAGGTAAGAAGACCTTTGACACCTGTGCCCATCGATTTCCGGGTCCAGCTCGTTGCCGTGCGACGTTTGCTTGTTTCCGGAAGTAAAGAGAGCATGCATAATGCTATTGCCGTGTATACATGCCGTGCCAGCCAGCCTGGCCTGGCTACAAGATCATGATCAGGCAACAAAATGGAGAGAAAATGTCCTGGAAATACCAAAAAGTTGACGTTTCAAATATGATCCTCTTAAGAAGGTTAAGCGGCATAGCAACATCGAATATTTACAGTGGTAAGTTATGGTTAAAAAGTGTTTTTTTTTAACTTCAAGACGTCATTGCATCGAGTCAGACTGACTCAGCTCAGTCAGCTCAGATCAGGCTCAGACTCGAGAGGCGACTTAATTGTTTTGAGAAGTGAGACTGAATCTCATTTTCACAATTTCACTCTCACTCAGTCTCAGCAGTGTCAGTGAGAGTGAGACTTAAAGAAAGAGAGAGCTGGTTCATAATCATATAGGTCCTAGTTGTTGTTGTTTTAGTTGATGGCGTGTAGTCTATCAATCATGAATATTTATGAAAGACTTGTTAGTTGTTTTACTTTTTTTAGTTTTTATTGGCGTGTATCATTCATTTATGAATATTTACTGACGAAGTCTAGACTCTAGATCTATATAATATAGATCTAGGCCTATATAGGGTCTATACATGTATCTAGACCGTTGTGCGTCCTGACACAAACTTGACAAAGGCGGACAGGTTGTCCTGACAATTGATTTTAATTATTTTTTAGAAGTATAGATCTACACGCAACATTTTATGAATCTTTTAAGACTTATTATTTTTGGTTGACAATTAATTATGAAAGACAAATATTTATGATGATTAGACCTAGTGCTATTTGATGCATACATTTTAAAGGCAAAGATGGTGGCTTTATTTTTTGTTTTGTAGCTTCCGGACGCACAGTCCCCTGTAATATCTACATGTATAGACTAGACATTTTACTACTATTATTAATAGAGCCTCCAAACTGCTACATGTATGTACAGTATGTAGTCTATATTAAGGCTACTTATTTCTAGATGGCTTTTAAACTAAGTAAAACCCTCTTCCCGTAGACCCTATACAATGTATCTTTTTTGTTTCTTATGTAGAAATGACTGAACAAGCACAATAATGTCAGCAACTCTCGTCCAAGGGAACACAAACCTGGCCGGGCTCTCGGGGTCTAGGAGCTTGGGTGTCAATGTCATTGCCCCAGTCATGGCAGTGTCTGTGTGCCGTCCACCCGCCAGCAGCAATGGCATGCCATCTCGACGGGGAAGTGCCATCGGTCGCTCGCAACTCCCAGCAAATAGCCTTCCAAGTAACACCCACTTCAAGCTTCACAGCCAGGAGAGTATACATGCAGGCAGTCTGTCGTCATCGCTCCTTGTGCCTTATCCTCCAGTCGAAGACACCACCTGGGCATCGGACAGCAGGGAGGGCTTGACCCTTCCTAGGATAAGCAGTCCAGTGCAGCTTTGCAGTACGACCAACTCCCAGTCAAGCTTCATCACTACCATCGACGCCACAAGCGGGAAGGACGGAATTGTTGATGATGTGGATGCTCACCTTGAGAAATCCAACCCGCCGAGCATCTTCCCAAACTTCCGAGCCCTGCAACGTCTCGCCGCCAGCGCCAAGCTGAGGATCAACAATCTGAAATCAAAAGAGGCTAAGGCCATCACTGCTTTACTTAATCAAGAAAACAATAATAATCAGTCCCATTCTTGCCAGGACGACGTGATTCAAGTGAACAATGTTTTGAATTCGTCTTGGGAGTCACAAGATGATGATGATCTTACCCAGTATCCACACATCAACAACACAGATTCTGCTGTACATAGTGAAAAAGGTGAGCAAAGTTTTCTGTAGTGTAAGTTTTTCCAATTCCCCTGAAATTGATCGAACATAGAATTGTTTCTTTTTTTGGTTGTAATGTTTTTCTTTAAGATATAGTCATGCTGCTTTAATTTGCTACCATAATTTGCCCTGATACATTTATTTTGCAGTCTTTAAATTAACCCTGTAAATTTTCAAGTTTTTGGCTATCAAATGCTCAAACAAATTCATAGCTGGGATTATTTTGTCATTTGGAGTTGTTGTAGACCATGTTTGTTGATATTTAGTGCCTTTTTTTTCCCGATCATTTTAATTGATCGGCGATCGGAAATTATTCTCTGATCACCCCTGATCGGATCGGTATCAGCGTCCGATCCGATGATCGTTTACAGGGTTACTTTAAATTTAGTATTTTATGGAAGATAATTTTAGCATACATGACCGATCTTATTTGCATCAATTACAATGACAAGTTTTTTGTTTTTTCCGCAGCCATTCAGATATAGATATATTCTTTAAGAAGTTTGGAACCTCCTGCCTTCCTAATCAAGGGTCTTTCTGAAACTTTATCTTTCCATTGAGTCATTACTGGGATCCTTGATGCATGAATTATTACTATGTACTAATGATTTTGAAAAGAAAGTCCTCACAATTAAGTTTGAAAATTATCATGAACCTTGTTAATATTTACTCCCCATTCCAGGTACTTCCAAATCAAAGACCAAGAAATTCTACAGAAGCAGATCAAGAAGGCGAGGGGGAAAAACTCCCTCGAAAAAGAAACACTCGCCCGCTCCGACGAAAGACCACAATTCCTTAGGAGATTTCAGTCTTGCTTCAACCATGACCCTCAACAGTCGCTGGGAAAGAAAAAAGGTGGAAACGTTCAGTACCAAGTTCAATAAGGGTTTTACTTCCAGAAAATCTAAAGTGAAAGACTCATCCAGTGGGACGTCCTCTCAAGTATCTTTGACGACAGTTGCTTTGGAGAAGAGAAGCAACGCAACAACACCCCGTGCAATCACAAAACAGAGCAGATCAGAGGCTTCCGATAGTATGCCAACACCCAGACAAGTTTTAGAACATGCAGCATCGGTTTATGGAAGTGGAAACCATATTCATGTGAGGCTGAGCAATAAATTCAGGTCGAGTGAATCGGAACGTTCGATGAAGAAAGTGTTCTTGTCAGAGAAACAGTCTAGTATGCTGAAGGATGGTGGGAAAGGTGTGCCCTGTGCCCCGCCCACTTCCCCCACCCCCCAACAGCTTGAGAAGTTTGAATATATAGCATCATTAACCGATCTAAGAGTGAGTATGATTCTGACCTCTGCTAAATTAATGTGTGCCATTGTATTTAGTTTTATTTAGGATGTTGAAAGCATACATCTAAGGTATACTTAAACAAGATCAAAACAAGAGGGGGGATAAAGATAATACTCTGAAAATAATATTTTAAAAAATAAAGAGGAGGAAAAATAAACATACTCCTTTAAAGAACTACTACCCCAAAGACAACTACATATAGGCATTGGGATGTTGCTCTCTAGGACAATTACGGCCCAGCTAACTCCCCAAGGACGACTACATCTAGGATAACTACTGCCAGGGACAATATACCCCCCCCTTCCCCCCTTCCCCCACCCTCACATATCCTATACCACTTATTTGTATTTTTTAGTTTTTAATAAATTTACTCACACTCAGAAGACAAGCTTTAGGGGTACTATATGGTAGGGAAGAGTTGAATAACAGTCAGGGTATAATTGTCTTTATTAGGGGGATTTTTTGTTGGGTATATATAGATGTCATGATGTAGTTTTTTTTTTTTTTTTTTTTTTTTTTAGGGTGGTGGTTTAATTTTCCTGGCATGTGGTCTAGAGGTTTCCTGAAATTCTGTGTTGGAAGGGGGAAGAGCAATTAAATATTTTTTTAATGATTACATTGGCTACATTTGAATATAATCATCATGATTAATTGCACAACTTATACTCAAATGCATGTAACTAGAAAAATAGAAATCCAGCAGTGTAATACTGTACATAATAACAGTTCCTAATTTCATGTAACATACAAATAGCAAGTGAACAACTTATGTCATGGAATTAATGAGGACAATTTTCTTTTACGTACAGAGCCAGAGAGCACTGAAAGACAGGTTAAACGTGATCGGTGCAGAGGAGAAGAAAAAGAGCCAGAAGATCCGCGAGGACAAGGCGCGGCAGGAGAAGCAGTCGGCCCGCAACAATGTCGGTATGATGAGGCAGAGACAGAGGCAAGAGATCTACGCTCTCAACAAAGTCATGACAGAACTTGAGAACAGCCATTTCCAGAAGTTCTGTGAAGCCATGAACAAATAAAGAGATTCATGGACAAATGTTGTTACGGTAAAGAAGTATAGGCCTCCTGTACTTTGGTAGTTCAACGACAGGGTTGACCGAAAATATCGTGATTGAAACTCATTGTAAAGGAAATATCATGGTTAGGGAAAAATTGTGAAGTTGGAAGAAAAAAAAGCTGTAAGCTTAGAACAAATTCATATCAAATATATATATTCCAAAATCAGTTGTGATACATTATTTTTGCATGGTTTGAGAGTGAGAATATATCAGGGCAATAAAAATAACTTTTCAGTGCAGGTTGAATTACTTGTAAAGTTGGTTTAATCGAAAGGTAATATTTTACAAAAAGTATAAAAGCTTTGTGTATGACTAATAACTATGAGTGAAATGCAAAACTGTAGTCAGTTGTGTTCCTTGTAAACTGCCACAGAGTTATGTCTGATCACAAAGCCTTTGCAAGCTATGGGTACCGGTAGGAAGGAATTCCTAGAATGCTGTGAGCACCGAAATAGATAGTCTAGCAGAGCAGGGGTAATATTGTAGCGCCTTGAACACCGTGCATGGTGGATATGTGTGCTACAAAAGTGTTAACTTTGTAATATTATTATCGCTCAAACACCCAATTGCATGGTCCCCTGCCAATGCCGACTTGATTGGCATATATACTGTATGTGCTATTAAAATGTTGCTGCATTGTTTTATGTTACAGTTTTATAGCGGCTTTGAATGTGTCTCATCAAAAGCAGGAAAGCGTTGTTTTAATTATGACTACTCCCTTTTATTTTATTTATTTATTTATTTATTTTTTTTTTTGGGGGGGGGGGTGTTAACAACCTTAACAAAAATTAAAATACCTCCTTTATGATATCTTAAATCTTTGGAAGTAAAAATATTTGAAGGAAGATTCAAAATAGGCAAAATCTATACCTTAGTATTTTGTCATATTGGGATGAGGGGCATCAACCCTGTTGGAACTAGAGGTAGAAACATTCACATATATTTCAAATTAATTTGATGACACATCCACAAAATTATTAAGATGTAGTTGCATATCTTGGCATGCTGGGCTTGTAGTAACAAGACTAAATCTTATAGCAATGCAAAACTTTGATGAGTTCAGAAAGTTTAATATGAGTGGTTTATGTTTATTACAGTGGGTTGAAAACAAGAAATTATATAATAACACATTTCAAGGAATATTTGTTATGTGCTTTTATATTTATTATTGCTTTTGTTCATTTTTTTTTGGTAGTCATTGATATTCAAAATAACCATAATTTTTACCATGCATGTATAAGTGTGTTAGTTCAAAAAGAGATGTAATAGAATTTTTTATCAAATGTTTTCCATCATGTTCAAGCCCTCATGAAATCAAAAGAGAATTTAATTGTAAGGTTTTGAAATTGTGGAAAAATATGATTAGGTATTTCTGTATTTAATATATTTTTTGAGGTAAAAGTACTAATTTTTAAAATGAATAATATATTTCATCACTTTGCAATCATGGTATGTAATATATGTATGCAAAAGGTTAACAAATTTAGTTAATATGAAATACAATTAGGAATTAATAAGATCAAAATATGGAGACTGTTGGTTTAGTGTCCATATATCAAAGAGAGATATTGATATGCAATTTGCAATAAGAAATGTGATACTTTGAGTTATCTACTAGTGCCAATTGTTTTGTGTTAATTGCTAATAAGCTAGAACTTAATAGGAATGTTGTGATTGTCTCATCATGTTGAAAGTAACAACTTTATATATTAATATTAATGAAAAGGCTTTTAAAATTATGTATTAGTAATGTTTCGGTTTTTATAGTAATTAAGAATAGAGCCTGCATGTAAAGATGTTTTTAAAATGTTTTAAAGATGTATTTGTGATGCTGTTTGATATGTTAGCATGTGGCGACCAAATACTTATTTTTTCCATTTTTTTTGCAGAGTACACATTTTGCAACCAAATATGTAATCATGTTATATCTGTGTGAATATTTCATTACCAGTCAGTCTTTCCAATAATGTTTTATATGTGTGATGATTTTCGACATATGATCAACTGGCCATTATCCGTCCATTTTTTTATCAGGGCCTTTTTTCAAACTGTGGCAGTCTATTATGTTCCAATAATCAACCAAAGTGGATTAAGAATTCATCAAGAATATATGAAAAATGGCTTATTTACCATTGTCCGTCCATATCTTTCATTTCTTTTTCTTCCTTTTGAATGGCAGAGTGGAGAGTTGGGACATAAAGGATTAAGATATATAATCAGTTTATATGAATATTTTCTAGGTCAACTTTTTGGACCAAATTCTTAGTCTTTGAAATAATGTCATCCATTAAACAGGTCTTTCGAATTAAGTGAATCATGTGAGTTCAAATATATATAATAAATACATGTATAAACAAATATAATAAATACATGTATACGGTAAATAAATATAATAAATATATGTTCCGGTATAAATAAATGTAAGTTTATCAATATTAAAATATAACTATTTGTGTATTTTATTAGTGACTCATTGTGATGTTTTATTTTTTTTTCTTCTGAAAGCTTGAAGTTCACCCCTCTTTTCTCTCTCCCTCTATCCCCTCTCTCTCCCCGTCCCTCTCTACCCACCAACCTATCTACATGTACCTACCCATTTATCGTTATCCCTTTTCTCTCCAGGGGAGTGTTTCACAAAGTCGAACTTAACTCTATAAGTTGGACTTAAATGTTATGGAGAGCCATTTGTAGCCTTAAAATGAAATATATTCATAAGCAAAAATTCAAGTGCTTTAGACTTATCATAAATTCCACATCAAGAACATTAAATCTCCCAATATGATAGAAAATATGAATGATCTGAATCAACATTTTATGCCTTTTAAAATAACTTTTTCCAAATACGTTCAAGGATGCTAATGGCTTTCCATAATTGTTAAGTCCAACTTAGAATCTTTGTGATACACCCCCAAATCTATTAACCTCTCTCCTTTATAAGTATCCAACATATAGGCTTTAATTATACAAATGACAAGCAAGTTACACCTGATGTAATTGTAATTTATGTATTACCGTTTGCAAAAATATAACTTCTTTGGCATCATGAAAAAAAATATAATAATCAATCGATATATTCCAAGAGATCAAGTAGAGGAATAACAATAAACAGTTTTAAAAATTATACATGAAGACAGAAGCCCAATAAAGAGGAATCTTGTTTAACTAGAGCAGTATTCTGAAAATTATTTTGTATTAAAAATTTATATTAAAAAAATGCTCTTTGATAACATGTCTGGAACTTTAATCCTCTGCATACATCTACACAGTTTCAGAATACCTAAAAATCTTTTTACAAAGGCATAGTTTTCATAATACTGCTCCTGTTCATAAATTGTTTAATTGCAAATTGCATATATAGGGTCTACTGAGCGCTGCTATGTTGGGCAAGCTTCTGGCAACCTATAAAGTTGTCAAACTGCTATAAGTGCAAACTGGGTGTCATAAGATGTTATACATGTACTTTGCATGGAAGTTCTTTGCGCAACACATTTGTGCTGTTCCACTCATTATTTTTAAGGCCATGACCTAGTGATTGTTAGTAACTTTTCAGGGTCATCACAGTAAAATTTAAAGAAATAAAAAAATCACCATATAGACTAATCTTAAATTTTGTCTAATATTGATCAAAATATTTCAAATCATGGATCTCCATTTTGTTCAAAATATGAAACCCATACAAATTTGGAATGATACTGCATAATTCTATCTACATATGTTTAAATCGTACTTTCAATTTGCATAATAATTCATATTGCTGTAATCCAGTACCGGTAGTCCTGATATATTGACAATAAAAAAATATTTTAAAAGTTCATTTGCAATCACATATAAAGCATTTGCATAGATGACATATCTGTTATATACAGCGCATTAACAAAAAAATAACTAGGCAGATCTTAGCATATTGAAATATATATATCAAAACATTTAAAAGAAGTATTTTCTTCAAAAAAGACAAAAATTATACAACGGTAAAATACCATAATGTAAATCAACATTCTCAAATTTAAAATCATTCTGTTACCAGAACCGTTTGCTGGTATAATTTCTTCTATAATTCAATTCATATGATAATTTCAATGTTATTCATTAACATGTACTCAATGAATATGTGTATAGTAATGGATCATTTCATGCAGGGATTATTTAATTACATATTCATCTTTCACTTCTTCCTCTAAAATGAGTTCAGGGCATAGTTTCATGAAACCGTCATAAATACAAGTTCACTGATATCCCATTGAAATGTGTGTTAAATCTAATAAACACATTTAAATACATGTAGGTTGTTGTAGGAAAATAATATATAGCACACAACTATACATTTATATTTTAAGTAAACTATTATATGGCACATAATATTATAAAGGATATAGGAAATTTAGCAAGATATTGAAGTGGAGTTGACGCAATCTTTACTCAAGTACTGGACTTCTCGTTGATCTATGATGAAGTTCTTCTTCCTTTTCCTCCAAGAATTCCTCTGTAAGATTGTGCCTGGTGATGATTCCCAAGATCTAAAACAGAAATATAGCAGAAATCATTTGAGCTGACAGAGCAAATCAAGTAAATAATTTAGAAATATAGACTAGAAAGGGTAGATCATCAACATTATATCCTCATCGATATCTAAATCATTACAGTCAATATCACCAACATCACCACCATCGTCAACATCACCATCGTCAACATCAACATCATCATCATCATCGTCAACATCAACATCATCATAATCATCATCATCACCAACATCAAAATCATCATCATCATCAACATCATCATCATAATCATCATCATCACCAACATCAAAATCATCATCATCATCACCATCATCATCAACATCATCATCAACATCATCATCATCATCATCAAGATCATCATCAAGATCAACACCACCACCACCATCATCATCACCATCATCATTGTCAACATAATTATCATCATCACCACCATCACCATCATTATGACCACATCATCAACATCATCATCATCATCAACATCATCACCATCAACATCACCATCATCATCCTTACCCCCATCATCATCATCATCATCATCATCCTCCTCATCATAATCATCATCACCACCACCAGCCTCCTCCTCTTCATCATCATCATCACCACCACCAGCCTCCTCCTCCTCATCATTATAATGATCACTTCTTTCTGATCTCACCAAACTCACAAAGAAGGGGGGTAAATCAGTGTCACTATCAAATTCATCATCAATATCCAAATCATCATCACCACCACCATCATCATCACCACCATCATCATCATCATCATCAACACCATACTCCTCCTCCTCCTCTTCCTCCTCCTCTTTATTCTTTCTTTCTGATCTCACCTCTCCAAAGCAGTTGACGACGGGCAGGTGTCTCAGTCCCATGGTGCGGAAGAGATTGAAGACCTTGGGGGCGGGTGTGTCCGGGTAAACGGTGTACGAGCACGTCGTCATGTACTTGCTGACATCCTAGAAAGAGGAGTGACCAGTTAGAAACTTAGATTACAATGACAAATCATCTCCTCATGAGAGCCAGTAGGGTACTAACTAATTATTCACCCTTTTAAAGCCCATCTGTACTATGGTAGTTTACAGAAGGGATTAGACCACCCTGCAAGGTCACTGACAGGTGGTTATCAAATCAGCTCTCACTTAACATAAGAAAAAAAGGATCATGGGGGACCAATTGTCACTGATTAGGCATTGTTTGCTATATAGAGGGCGCAAGTAGCTATAAGTAGTGCAGTGGGGCTTTAAATCCCTCTTCTTGGTCTACATTAAACAGTTCGTCTACTATCTGAAATTCTAAATGGTCCAATAATCACATAATCTTCATCAAATGATTGGTAGACCTTATGGATGGTAGACGAAATGGGCATTAGACAAACTGGGAATTAGATCGACTGGTGAATAGACTGACTGGCTATTTGGCTAAATGGACAATAGACCAAATGGGTAGTAGACTAATGGGGGATTAGACCAAATGGAAATTAGATCAAATGATTATGATACCATGTGGATAGTAATAATAATAATAATATTCTGTGTTCATATAGCGCTCAACGATGTGCCTAAGCGCTTTACAGATATATCGTTACCCCGGTCATCGGATTCAGGTTTGCCCGCATACAATGTATGCACATTTTCCACTCCTTGGGGAGCATTCCGGTCAGTCGCCATTTTACAAGCGCACACTTGCTCGTCCAACCACATGAAATTTCGCATCCTACCGGGTACCCATTTAACACCTGGGTGGAGAGTAGCAAGTGCAGGTAAATAGCTTGCCAAAGGATATAAGTGCAGTGTCGGGATTCGAACCCTCGACCTTCGCATCTCCAGTCAAGTGCCTTAAAGGTAAAGACCAGTATTGGAAACGCCCCAATTTCAAAAAATGAAATGGACGCTCTCATTACCAATCATGTGAAAGAATATGTTTTGACTAATACATGATGATAACAAATTTGCCGGGAAACCGCCTACTAATTCATATATTTGGTAAATTTGTTTCTCTCATGGTCTGTGAGAGATATAGGGTAGTCCCATATACATCTTTCTGTGTATAGTGCTTGTAACTTTACGAAGAATGGGCCAAATTTCTTATCATTTTGATGATTCCAGAACCTTGCAGATGCTAGATGCTAGATGATCAACCTTTTCTGATCGATTCCACAACATTTCTTTCACAATGCAATCTCATGACCATAACTGGTCTTTACCTTTAAACCACTTGACCACGATACTCCCAAACTGGTTGTAGACCAAATGGCAATAAACTGAACTTACCACTATCTTGTTTGCATTGATGTTAGTGACATCAATGTCGTAGATGTCTAAATATCTTGGATATCTGGCTACCATATCTTCATAGGTTACGTGAGGCTGGCACGAACTCTGTGAAACAAAAAGAAAGATGATAAATACATATCAAATTAGGAACGAAACTATCCCTGATGGAATACATGTGCGAATGCGTTGATGAACGACTAATCTTGGGTTTTAACTTAATCACAATAAACCATGTGATCCACGGTCTGGTGACATATCCGCTAGACCATGAAATTTCTCGGTAACATCTAAAACTAAAATAACATTAAAAAATATACTTACAGAGACATTTTCAGGATAGCACGCCCCATGCTGCAGGAGGGTCACCAAGTGGTCTCGGAGTAGAAGGCCATGGAAGGTCAAAGGTCGATATTCATCCTGAAAAACCTGATCATTCTCAGCGGCAGATCCAGGATTAGAGTCCTCAGTGGGTTGATCAGAGGTAGAGCTGAATGGGAGAGATAATTAATTCATTTAACCTGACTTCTGAATTCATTCATTGCCAGTAGTCTTAATGCAGGAGTCATAATTTTCTTATTAATTATCCGATTTTGCTCAAACTTTTTTTGATTGGTTTTTCTGAATTTTCTGCTTCTATTGAAAGTAATTTATTTTTGGAGTGGATTTTTACTCTAATACTAATTTGGTTTCATCAAGAAAATGGCCTATTGCATGATCTACTATATACTTACCTAGGAGTGGCATCACCTGATTCTGAGTGAAACCGTTGTCTTCCAGAGGTCACAGAGAGTTCATTGGTCTGAGGGACGCCACTCATGAGGACAGACTGGCCCCTCAGCTTCCTTTCTCCCGCCCTCGTCAGAGTTGCATTCTGGGAATAAAAGTGACAACAATGACACGTATTACACAGGATCAATCTAAGTGTGTTTTATCCAATACATACTACTGACTACATCAAAGCTTGGTAAATTTAACTAGGAAAATTAAAATTCATTTAATAAAAACCTTTGATTTCATTTTCATCTCAAATACCTATTGCAATCATATGCCTTTTTCTAAACATCACAAAACAAAGTTGGTAGAGCAAAAGGACCCAGCCTGCATATAAATCCATAAATATATAAATCCCACACATTTTCCAGCATGCAGTGTCTAAAATCAGGAATATTAATTTACTCAAGGAATAATACAAACTTGGTCAATTTAATTGGAAACTTAAAATTCATTTAAAAAAAACCTTTAATTTCTATTTCAATCTCAAATACCTATTGCAATCTTATGCCTTTTTCCAAATATCACAAAACGAAATTGGCAGAGCAAAGAGGATCGACCATGCATAATGTACCTTGAACATCATGTTCCTGCTCGTTACTGCATCAGCTGACCTCTTGACCTTTAGCCTGGGTGCTGTTTCCGTGACGACAGGGAAGGCATGGTGGGTGGTAGTTCGTAGGATGTTGATCAGTGAGTGGACGCGGGTGTGGGGGTAGATGTAGACCAGGTCAGGCTCCATGACATCATGGGCGCGAAGTCTAGGAGATGGAGAAACGTTATAATAAAACATTTTGTAGAGGTGTTTGGGACGAGTGGATATGTCATCGGACTGTGGATCACAAGGTCCGCGGTTCAAGTCCCATCGCGGCACTAATGTCCTTTCAGCTCTGGCAAGACATTGATCTACATTTGCCACTCTTCACCCAAGTGTTAAATGGGTACCCGGTAGGATGCGAAAGCTAATCTGCTTAAGTCAGCAAGTGTGCGCTTGTAAAAATAATGCCTGGCTGGAATGTTCCCCAGGGAGTGGAGAATGTGCATACACACAATGTATATATATATATATATATCTATATATATATATATATATATATATATGTAAAGTACTTTGAGAGGGCCTTCGGTCCTGAAAACCGTTATATAAGAACTAGCTATTATTATTATTATTATGATGATGATGGTTGAGGTCTAGTGGATCATACCTGCCAACCTTTCACAGCAAAAGTAAAGGAATATCTCAAGGCATAATTTGGGGGTACAGTCTATTTTGTTTACTTTTCACACAGAATATTTCAGAAAATGAGAGGAATCAAGGGTTCAAAACAGTCAGTAGCTTGAGGATAAAAAAATAGGAATCATTCCTCCAAACTGATAGGAATGGTTGGCAGCTATCATAAGTCACCAGAATAGTGTATTTTTCCCCTCTCAGTTAAATCAAGCAATATAAAATATTTTGTCTTATTCTCAAACTTAAATGTACTCTGTACACTTATTTTATTACGAACATGCAGTATTTCGTTACATTTATAATTCATTTGTTCTATTATATATTGTGATACTGTATGGTTTATATATGTAATTTAACTTGTGGATATTTGAGTGGAAAATAAATCAACTCAAATCAAATCAAAGTTTGGGGTTTGTATTGCAGGGCACATGTGTCATCACTGTCATGTACGACCTTTGGCAGGACATTAACCATACATGACCCAGGTGTGGACAGAGAGAGAGAGAGAGAGAGAGAGGGAGAGAGAGAGGAAGAGGGAGAGAGAAAGAGAGAGAGAGAGAGAGAGTTTGCTTTTATAGTCGAACTGTCAGGTATAATAACATGTAGCTATAATCATAAATCAATATACTGACATTTGGTTGTAATTAAAGAACATAAAAGTTAACTACTGTATCGAGGCACTTTGCCTCTCTATCTGAATGGTTTTTTCTCCTTAAAAGTGAAACATTCCTTTTCACAACTGTTTTCTCACTACCAATGTTTTTTATTTTTTAATATTTTATATGCAAATTTCTGATAATGAGACTGTATTTAAAAAGCTGTTACCTTTCTATTTTTCTGTTTGTCTCCCATTCTAGGAGTGGCACCCCTCTGAGCTTGATATGGATGTCATAAAGCCCTTGGTTAAAGAGGTCACCTGACCACTTGGCAACCTGATAAAACAATGGAAGGATGGGACAAATTAATCTCATCCACTGTCATCTTGTTTGGATCCCCAATGCCTTTCTCTTTGAAAAGATAAAGTTAGGTTCTGTTACATGATTATGTTGAGAAAATATCTGGAAGCGATTGGGAAAGGTTGATTATGTAGAATAAATGAATTGATATATAAAGCTGAGAGGTTTTGGAATAATAAAATGAACAGGAAATGATTGCACTACACACAGCATGGGTCAATGGGACTAAACATACATGTGGCATGATCCAAGCGCGTAGCTAGGATTTAATTTAAGGGGGGACTTACAGAGCGCGCTCCATAAGGGGGTGAGTGCAGGGAGGAGGGAGTTCCCCCCTCCTGCGCGAAACGCGGAAGCTTTGACGTTTCATCAAATTATTAAAGAGAGATGACGATTCGTTGTACCGTTCTCGACTCTTAATCCATGTCTAAATTCAGTTTTTCCCCTCCCGCCTGAAGCGTGGAAGCTTTGAGGTTTCATTAAATTATTAGAGAAAGAAGATGATTCGTTGTACCGTTCTCGACTCTTGTCTTTGTTTGCTCCTTTTTCTTCCTACGTCCTCTCCCTTTTGTCTCTTCTTTTTCTCTCTCTTTTTTTTTGGCAGGCGTTTTTTTTTTTTTTTTGGGGGGGGGGGCGACTTAGTCTTTGTGAAACACTCTCCTGCACGCTTAATCTTGATAAACTTCAAATGCTGCATGAGAATGCTTCAGCTATTACGGAAAGCATCAATAACCTGACCAAGAAAGACAACAACCTGACCATAGCATTTAATTCTCACCATGAGTGTGACCATGATTGGTAGGCCATAGCTGATCTCATTGGTCGACTCGATCATGATGACCGTCAGGCTGATCGTCATACGGACCACGCCCCCCAGGAAAGCCGCAGACCCGACCAGTGCAAAGGTCCCCGAGTAGATCCTTGTGTAGGATAAGTAACTGCAGTGGAAGAAAGATATACAAAACACGTATCAGTTATAATAATAATAATAATAATAATAATAATAATAATAGGCATTTCTATAGCACCGTCTATCTAGAAATTCTATTCCGAGGCCCATTTTTTTATTATTACCCCGGCTTTAGCCTAGCTGCCATTACAGCGCTCATGCATTTCAAGGTATTAATTCCTGCCAGGTACCCATTCACCTCACCTGGGTCGAGTGTGGCAAATGAAGATTAATGCCTTCCCAAAGGACATTAGTGCCGTGTCAGGGATCGAACCATCAACTTTTAATTTCAAGTAAGTGCTTAAACCACTCGACTACAACTTACACTTCTCACAAAAATTTAGGGTGAAATCTTAGTCATGAAATGCTTCAATAGTATATGTCCTCTTAACCAAGAATAGCGCCATATTATCTTTCTGTCTACAATGCAACTTTCTTTCTTTCTTTTGATCCTTCTTAATTCATCCACTATTTTCAAAAAGATATATTGTCATTATTTGGAAATTGAACTTTAGTTCTCCATTATCTCATCTCGTTGATAGGAGTTTGTATTTTTTCTTAGACAAGGCACTTATGTGCAGTTGTCTCTCTGCATGGAGTTAGGTGTACTATTAAAATGGAGACATTGTATGTTCTAGTAACAGAAATTATAGGAGAATCAAGACCATTGACATGATTCGATAGAGTCAAGTTTTTTCATGCCCTACAAGAAGTCCCTAGCATTACTCTAACCCTAGAGTTGTTTAGTTAAGTTTCAAGTGAGTTACCTTTTCAATGCATTTCCTACAAAGCGCCCATAGGCAGCTCCACACAGCAGGCAAGGTACAAACAGACCACTGGGTACAGCTGATCCGTACGTCCAACAGGATAGGAAGAAGAAATACATGAAGAACAGCCCAAGGGATTGAAGGCTGAAAGTACCTAGGAAGGAAGATGGGGGCAACAAAAGAGACTTGATTACTTTTTCTTCCTCTTCTTTGGGTTAAGTCTACCTCCTTAACAGTTGAATATTCTTGCAGACTGATAAGTGTGTGTGTGTGTGCATGCTTACGAGAGCCAGGTGCATGGTGCAATATGCTATTAACATGGTGCAAGTAAGTAAAAAGTTTCCGGACTTAGTTGCGGCCTCCCGAGGAAGGGTCAAATAGACCACAGGCAGAGATACCAACCTCTTGACACAATAAAACAGTAACCTATAAAAAAAAAAAAATCACGAAAACTCGACACTACCACAGTAAAATTTCAGAAAAATGTTTTACTGGTAGATAAGTTTGCTCTTTTATTAAAAATAAATGAGAAAATTGTAAAGCAAAGTTTTTGTTGGGGTTGAGGGGGTTTACTTGTACATGTTTCTATGCGATTCCGCGGTTTTTATAGTTTTGTTGTTGTTGTTATTGTTGAAAAGAGGTGATATCGTATTATCGTACTAAATACGATTTAATCATACTGGTTGGCATCTCTGCACAGGTACTTTTTAGGTAGACCTACCCTCTTGGTGGAAGAGTTGTTTGATGGCTTCTTCCTGTGGGTTGAAGAAGAGGGTAGCCATGTCATTGTAGTAACCTTCAGGGCAGAAATAAGTCCTCACGGAGGAGCCAATCTCAGCGGGTGATGTAGAATTCTAGATTCAGAAAAATAACACGAGAATAATAATAACAATAATATCTTTCTCATCCTTCCGGTTACCCATTTAACACCAGGGTGGAGAGTGGCAAATGTTTATCAACGTCTTGCCAAAGGACATTAGTGCCGTGTCGGGGATTGAACCACGACCATTGAATTTCAAGTCAAGTTCTTAAACTGCTCGACTACGAAAATAAGAAAACAAAAGAAAAAAATGACAATATTCAATTCCATTACCCACTAACTATTTGCCATATTCAAATTCATGATTTAGACCATCTTACATATTTAAACCTTCTAAAATTTCAGTTGGAGATTAAACAAAATATCGCCTGAAAGTTTCATGTCCATCTAGCACTGGCATTCAGATCATTACTATGAAAAGTAGCTTCCCCATTCAAGATCCGTTTTGTCTGTCTGTGTGTGTGTGTGAGTGCCTCTCTGTCTCCCCTCCCTCCTTTTCTCCCTCTTTCCCCTTCTCCCCCTCCCCCTCTTTCTCCTTCTCCACCCCTCCCTGTCTCTGTCTATATCTTTCATATCTGTTCATGCCCTATTTGTATAACTCTTTCCTTTCTTTTTCCTCATAATAAATCAAAACAAGGACACTGGGATAAAATTGCAGTTATCATTTAAGCGTGTTCGTAAATCTCTGAAAAAAACACAATCTCCATGTACATACCGATGCTGGAAGGAGTTTACACTGTCCCATCGTCATGGCAGCAAGAAAAGCGACAAGAGTTGTAACCAAGGCAACAAGGACTGCCTCCAAAACCCTGTCGCAGAGGAGAAAATTTGAAAAAAATGAAAGAAAGATAAGAAACAGGCAATACTCAATAAAAGTACTAATTATATTTGATCATTACCATACTTACTGGTATACATGTATGATGCTTTTCTGTCTGTACATATTTTCTTCACGGTTTAAAAATAGGCCTGAGAGTGAAAATAATGAGGGAATTGAATGCCAAAAATCTGTACCATATATGGTCCTCGGTGGTGATTATTCTCCATTTAGTTCAACCTCACAAACAGGCACCTACACTTTTTGGCTAAATTGGGGTGTAAGAGAGTTGAATTATTTTGTGTCTATATATTGGATAAAATACGAGATTTTTTAGAGTGCTCAACTGCCTACGACATGGTAATACCCTAGTCACACCAACAAGACCGACGTGAGACCAAACAAAAATATTATATTACATCTAGGGTCAAGAATTAGTCAGTTTGGAGTCGGTCTAAAGTCAGTTTGGCGGTGTGACTTAGGTTTGAGGGTTTACACATGCAAAGGATTATTACTGATTTTATAGAAAGATTTTTTTTTACTGAAAGCAATATAATCGCCCATAAGATAAAAGTCTTTATTTTCTTTTTGGAGTTTGGATACCACTGTATAGATATCATTGATGAATATTCCAACCGACTGATTAGGTGGTCTATACATATATATAGATACATGTAGCTCCGATTTGAATATTTTTGTACACTCACCTAGCAACTTTACGTCTCATAATTGCTGATTTTATAGAATTTTTTTTTTTTACTGAAACCAATAAAATTCCCCATAAGATAACAGTCTTTATTTTCTTTTTGGAGTTTGGATACCACTGTATAGATGTCATTGATGAATATTCCAATCGATTGATTAGGCTGTCTATACATAGCTCCAATTAGAATATTTTTGTTCGCTCACCTAGCAACTTTACGTCTCATAATTGCTGATTTTTATAGAAATAATTTGTTTACTGAAAGCAATATAATCACCCATAAGATAACAGTCTTTATTTTCTTTTTGGAGTCTGGATAACACTGTAAAGATATCATTGATGAATATTCCAATCGATTGATTAGGCTGTCTATACATAGCTCCAATTAGAATATTTGTGTACACTCACCTAGCAACTTTACGTCTCATAATTGGATTCTGCAGACGACATACCGTGATGAAGGTGTTGATGGCATTGAAGAGCGCCCCCAACAGCCCGCCAACAAAGCCCATAGCGATGAAGATGAGTAAATCAAATGCTGTCCACAAATTGCATTTCCCTGAACCACACTGAAGAATATTGATAATAATAACAAAAGCTCACATTTATAATGCGCCTAATACTTTGTTTCTAGGCGCAGCACATATTATTACTCCGGTCGTCGGATATTAGTTACATTTTTATATTTCCCAGCGATTTATATATATATACAGTCAAACCTGTCTATAGCGACGGCCCAAGGGAAAAACAAAAGCTGGTCTTTGTAGACAGGTTCCTTTAGTACATGTTTCAATGAGAAACCATTTTTAAGGGAAACAAAAAAATGTTGTCTTTGTAGACAGGTGGTCACTAAAGCAGGTTTGACTGTTATTTATTATTAAAACAGTTACTGGATTTACTATCAAAATCAACACAAGTACATCGGAGTGAAAGGTAAGAAATAAATTCCACCAGTTGAGGAGGCAAATTAAAGCTCTTTCATTTAGATCTTTAGTAATTATAAAAAGCTATGAGTGAGAAAAGTTAATAATCACATAACAAGTTGATCTCAAAAGAGGAGGTCTTTATGTACAGGCTCCTTTATTAGGCATACATGTTTCAATGAGAAACTATTTTCAAGGGAAACAGAAAATGTGGTCTTTGTAGACAGGTAGTCTACAATGCAAGACTTCAGGACAATAGATGGACAAATCGTTTAACAGAATGGCAACCAAGGATGGGAAAGAGAAGAAGAGGAAGGCAGAAGAGAAGATGGAGGGATGACCTAACATCATACATGGGAATGGTCGTTTGGACTAGGATAGCTAGAGACAGAAGAAAATGGAAATGTTATGAGGAGGGCTTTGTCCACTTTCTGGATGAATTATAGCCTGATAGATAGATAGATAGATATTCTTTCTATACAGGTGGTCACTATAAAGCAGGTTTAACTGTACCAGTTATATCTCACCTTGAATAAACCAAAGTCGATAAGTCCCGGTTGGCTTAGTCCGCCCCACTCACCGAGGTTGATGCCAGACATGAGGAAATTGAGAGCAAATGTTGCACACATGGCACAGAAAAACTTGGAGAGAAATACAAAGGCATGAAAAAGAATATTCTCAATCTGTTTCATGATTAATGTAAAGATCAATTTATGATTTTAAAAAATGAACTCAGAAAAGAAAACAATATAATTATTGACCTTTTGCATCACCCTCCTTTTTCTCCTAAAACGACTAGGTTTCTTGTACAGGCGTACTCTGCACAAAAATGCAGAGTATAGAATAATCAGTGCGAATAGAAGCACATTCACTTTGGGTGTTAACATCTGTGCAAGCTAGCTGTCATCTAAAATTACTTGCCGGCAGAGTGGTGAATTGTATGTCTTCTATTGATATACAGATAATATTTTTGTGTAATTAGTCCCCTTTAATTCTTTATTATGCCATTGAACAACCTCTAAAGTGCCACATTGTTTTGAGTTTTATTTGCATGTACCGATGTATGTGACAAGGCTGACAATGGCAGTCTAGTTTGTTCCGTCGGTGGACAAAAGATTAGAAAATGTGAGTTACCTAAGGATATTGGAAGTTTGACTTACTGTTCTCCACGTCAACGCTTGGTTCCAAAACGATGAACCTTCTTCCAAGCTGAACAGAACGCCCCCTATAGGTGACCCAAAGGCAGCTGAAAGAAAAGTACATCGGTTTGGTAGTTAATAATAATAGTGATAATAGTTCAGTTCTTGTATAGCGCATAATACATTATTAAATGACATCTCAATGCGCTTCCAAAGAGTTTGGACTTTTATTACCCTTATCAGCACACAGTGCATTTCAAGGATTACTCCTACCAGGATTTTTAACCCTCCTTTCAGGACAGGGATCTTTTTGGACTAAAATTGATTACATATTGTTCTTCAAATTGGCAACAATAGTGTGTTTCTTTTAATGCTACATTGTTCTAATAAAACGTGATGTCTCTCAAAAAACTATACATGGGTTTGAATTCTATTGAAAAGATGGATATAAATTGCCAATTTAGGTAGAAAAAAAATGATTTTGAACCCCTCAAGCTGTTGCCAATTTAAAGATTTTAAGGCTGTTCTTCCTTTTAAAATTCCAGACGTTGGATGCAATATGGTCATATAACAAAATTGGACACAATGTGTGCAGAAATATTTTTTGCCCTTTGATTTTTAATGCATCTGGGCCCGCGCCCCTTGCACAAAACTTACCGTTGATGGTAACTTTGCCATTAATAGTAATGCTGTTGATCGCTGTTACCATGGCAATTCCCATTGAAGACAAAGTTACCATCAATGGTAAGTTTTATGCAACGAGCCCTGGTAAATGTTTTGGAGAGCTCTGATTCCAGTTACTGAGCCAAACCACAAAATTTTGAATGCTTGTCCCATCATGCCTGACAGCAGGTGACCTCAATGTTTTTTTCATACATAACACATGGCAACCTCTATCAAGATTGATGTAAGAGTCATTTATAAATGCTTTAGCATCAAACTTTTATCATGATCCCATGCTAAGATATCTTGCATATGCATTTCCTTCATGAAATTCCATAAATTGATTCTGTAACAAAGAATACTACACTTTGTAGTGTAGTGTACAATATTTTTGTGTGTTCTCACTGACCTGGAAACCCAACTTGGGTATTGTTACGATAAATATTAAATGAATACTAACACAAAAAGATCTTTGCATACCCATCTTAAACCATTCAAACCATTCAAAATTGTATGGAATTTACTGCTTCTTTTATTGAGTAAATATCTATGGTGTGCATGATTTTCATTTGCATATTTGGTTAATGAGATAATACTGATGATTCGTTGACTAACCTGCTACCCCTGCTGCTGCTCCGCCTGAAACAAAGTCTCTTTTATCTCTGATGGAAAAAATGGTTTGGAAAGATGACAGTAAAAAAAAAAGGTGAATTAATCAGGAATATGTCGCACTGTATCATTTCAGAACACAGAACTGTTTATCTATTCTATTATTTATTCTATTTGGTATTAATTGTAGAAACATGTAACATACATGCAAGAAACCAGTGATTTGTTTTCAAGCCCTAATTATGTCATAAATAAATAAATTTAAACAATATACCTCACACAAACACAACATATTATTACTACATAAACATTCATTTTATGCTCTTTTTTATCTCTGAAAACTTACATACGTAATTGTTTAGTAAGAGTACATGTAATTTCTTTAAAATGCACTGAGATAAATGGTTGATTGTTAATTCCATCACACATTATATAAATCACAATTATTATTCTTATATGAAAGACAACTTCTAAATAACTTTTTCAGCATCATTACAACAATTTAAAGTGCAATTAAGTATATTTATGTTCACCTTTAAACATATAACCCAAGGCTTACCTATCAGTTCTAAAATATGGAAAGTTGAAGTTAAACTTGCGGAATGTGATGCTTTGGAATTGTGGGATACCTGCTCCAACAATCGCACCACTGTGAATCATTGGCCCTTCTTTTCCAACAAATATACCTGAGAGAAAAAGGACAATAATAATAATATTCGTTTTTTGTATAGCGTGTATATCACATTAAATAAGATAAGTATTTCAAAGAGCTTCAGAAATTATTACCCTGGCTTTAGCTCCTGCAGCCATTATCAGCACACAGTGCATTCAAAGGAATAATCCTACCTGCTAGTAGCTACCCATTTACCTCACCTGGGTTGAGTGTGGCAAATGTAGATTAATGTCTTGACAAAGGACATTAGTGCCGCAGCTGGACTCAAACTGTGGACCTTGTTATCCACAGTCCGGTGACATATCCACTCAACCACGACACTTCTACAATAATTCTTAATGATGATTCAGATTGATTTCCATTACAGTAATAATGAACAAAAAGACAACAATGAAACATTGTGAAACATCTGCCCTTCTTTTCGAAGTTATAAACCTGAGTTAAAATTGACAATTGTTCTTCATAATGATTCAGATTAATTTCCATTACAGTAATGACAAACACAAAATCATCAATGAACCATTGTGAATCATTCATCGGTTATTCTTTTCCAACAAAGAAACCTGACAGAAAATAGAGAGATAAATCCTTTATGATGATGATTAAGATCAGTTTTAATCACAAATAACAGAGAAATAGATGAGACAATCAAATTACATTCCCAGGTCGGAATTCCAGTTGATACCAGTTGAAACCAGTAAGGATTTCCAACTGGTATCTACTGGTTTGAACTAGTCTCAAATAGTCTCAACTGGTACCAGTTAAAACCAATTGATACCAGTTTGAAGTCGACAAATAGAATTACCAGTTGTTACTGGGACCTGTAGATTACTAGTCTAAACTGGTATCAGTTAGAAACCAGTAGAAAGTACAAGTTTGAACTACAACCAGTCGACTATCAGTTTAATTAGGACCAGTAGATTACTGGTTTCAACTAGTACCAGTCTCCAACCCTTTCTGATCACTCACCTCCTGCCACACTGAAAAGTACCCCTACAGCCTTGGACACCAGTGTCTTCAGTCGGACTACATGGGGCACCTTGACACCATTCAGATAACACTTGATCTCGGGGATACCAGATCCACCAGCGATGGGCTAAAATGATAACAATAATAACATTGATGATGATGATGATGATTATAACTCAAAATGAAAATAAAGATTAATCATAACAATTATTGATTATGATAATGTACCTTGTAAGTGACAACAAAATACTGGAACTTATATGCATGAGAAAACCCTAGTAATTAGGTGTGTTTTCAGTCTTCTTTTGAAGTCATCTACGGTATCAGTCTCACAATCATTCACTAGTTTGGAGAGTTCCTCCTACAACTGGGGAGCTGCTAACACTAATGCATTATTGTTCCGTTTTCGGAACAAGTATGGCAGGTTCATTAGATGCATGACCAAAAAACCTGGTCAAGATATCGGAACGTGGCTTAATGTATGGAAAATAGAACTTACCTCGAGTGCCACCAACAGACTCGCTATGAGAACAAACGTCATGTTGAAAGCTAGAAGGATCATGAGAGGGACACCGAGGCAGCTGTACTTGGAACAATCACCCAAGTCTGAGCAGTCTTTGAGTCAAGATTGTATAAACATTTGTCAAATAAAATCATTAAAAGATAATCTGGATTTATATAGCGCTTAATGCACCGATGACAGGACGACAAGCTTGATGCTCAGCTTTCTACCAAACTATTTAGTAGATACCACTCATGTGTAGTGTTGACCATTTACATTAGGTTTTGTTAGATTCTGTGAAAATTTAATTTAATCATCTCCAATATTAAGGGTTACCATATAGCCTGAAACTTTAAGCTTCAATCAAGATCATTCACTGCCATAAAACTAATCTTAAGGCAAGTCTTTGTTTTTAAGTAGCATCCCAGTTATTATCAGAACTGTGAGCACTTTACTAGTTTCATTCGATTATAGATATCATCTCATTCTTGTTGTGTAGGTATACAGTTAAGTCTATTTTTTCAAAGAAGGATACAATTATCAACTGTTCCTAGTTTCCAGTTGCTCAGCAATCCGACAAAGTAGTTGATAAATACAGCTACCTAGAGATGCAAAAACAGACCAGAAAAGTCAGATAAAATTGCTTACACAAGATTATAGAAAAGTTTAATAAGCACATCACATATACATGTATCATGCCACAATGGTTTCCCATGGTATATGTTAACAAAGATCAAGATGGATTTGTTCTTATAATACACATTTCTATGGGTCTTCATTAGATTGGTATATAGTATTGGATTGCAGTATTCAAATAAAAGGGTTCATCATCATTATTTTATAATGTATATTTTTTCCAAAACTGTTGGGTTGGACGTTGGCTTCTCTCCAAACCTTCCAGTCTTCGGCATCCATCTCAGTGAAATCAGATACCGTAATTATCTTATCTCTTCCCCTAATGTATTCAATGGGTGAAAGAAGAAATGAGAGAAGAAAAATGGAACAAAGAAGAAAAAGGGAAAAGGGAAGGAAGAGAAGACTTGAAGTGAAGCCCATTTATTTGGAATAGTTTGCCAAATGACATAAAACAGTGCGATTACATGGAAATACTTCAAATATATGTGTAAGGGTTATTTAAGCGGAACAAAATGAAATCGTCATTTATTATATAGAATAGAAAATTCAAGTTGTAACTTCCTTCTTCTTATCTTCTCCCTCTTAATATCTTCCTGTAACTGTCCTTACCTTATGCTATCTTTATCTTTCCTCTGTCCTCTGTTGTTGTGAATGTACATGTACAATGTTTTTTTATATAAAATAAGTTTGTATCTTGTTTATGCCAAGTATTTATTTGGGGATCATTCTCGTCAAGCCAATTTTGGCTTTCATGATTCCCCACTTCCTTTTATCTTACGTTGATAATGAACAAATATGTATATACTTTTGATGTAAAATGACTAATGAGTGAAATAAATAAATGAAATGAAATCTTATGAGCTCACCAATCCTGTCAAGATGCCAATGGCAGCCGTCATGATCCATCGGAAGACTTCAAGATGTTGACTAGCCCATGATGTTTTAGCCTCCAACATATCAGAATGGATTTGACTATAACATGTATCATAGTCGAGACTCTATAAGGACATTGCAATAGCAATAGCAATTAGTAATAGTAATAGTAATTACTAATAGCGAAAGTAATAACAATCAATCTAATGATAATTATAACAATATAATGATGATAATGAAAATAACAATAATAACAAGAACATTAATATTATTAATAATGATAACAACATCAAAAATGACAAGTTCAATAATAATAATAATAATAATAATGATAATAATAGATCTAATAACAATAATAATAATAATGATAATAAGCATTAAAAAGATCTATTTATTAATACATGTGCAATATGTAAGAAATCAGAGTACATGGCTGGCATAATATTATTAACATGGGACAAAATTACATTTTCAAGCACCTGCCACCAAGGATGGTCAGTGGGTCTAAAACTTAATTTTCTTTTAATCCCTAATTAATATTGTTAATGTTTCAGTTTCATTTATTTTCTTCGGTTCTAATCTTTATATTCATCCTATCTTCATCTTTTCTTCTTTTTTTTTTGGGGGGGGGGGGGGGAGTGAAAATTATTGCAATTTAAATGTCAATATTAACACCAACTGATAACAAAATTTAGAGAAAAAACACAGAATTCTTCAAATCAAGATTTAGAGGAACTCAACATACATCAATTTTGTACTTTGTAGTAGAAAATCTTCAATGCTTACACATGGGGCAATTTATAAAGATATTTTCTTGTGAGTGTAAAGAAATCAATATTGAAAATATTACTCTCAATTTACTTTGACAGCAATTACAGCACAGCTTACTTACATCATAGTCTTTTGTGGGTAAATGCAGATGATGTCCATGTTGGCTGGATGCTATAGATTGCTAGATGAAAATAAATGAACAGAAATAAACAGAAGCTAAAATAATACTGCTTAGTTTCATTCTAAGTTGTCAGTAAGTTGCTTGATCAGAGAGACAGTGGTTGACTTTGATATTTTCACATTTAATTTTAAAGAGAAAAGGGAACCTGTTCTCTGAGCTCAGACTTCTCTGTAAGACTTTGATTTGAATTCAGAGAGTTTTAAGCAGAAGTGATATCATACTGTAAACTGTCACGGACAAGTGTTTCAATTCTAAGGATTAGACCTAGGCCTATTTCTTTTCCTCCTTCTCCTTCGATCTCCTTCTTCTCCTCCTCGATCCTTCTTTTCCTCCTCAACTTCTTCTTCCTTCTTTTTCTCTTGCTCCTCCTCTCCTCCTCAGTCAGAGGACACAACACAAACACATTAAGCTCAAATCCATGCTTAGTAACTAAGTTGTTATTCTCTTTACACAGAAAACAAGAAAACCACTAACTACTAACAATTTAATTTGAAGAGAAAAAACAACTAGATCTAGGCCCCAATAATTTACAACATAAAAAGCCACTTGTGGGACCAATGCTAAAAGAATTTAAAAATACAAATAATGTAACTTACTAGTTCTTCATCTCCTATTCTTCCTGGTGTTTGGCAACATCTAAAACACGATGTCAGGCAACAATTATGAGGTCTACGAGACATTTCATGAAGTTTTCTTAATGTTTTCTCGTCTTTGTAGGCGAGGCGATCAAACCAAAACACCAATGTTCAATCGTTCGCTGTTTCTAATTCTTGAATTTGAAATTCTCGTCTGCGAAGTTTGTGCATGTGTTTCGTATTCAGTGGACCAGCAAACTGTGGGCGGAGACCTTTTACAGCTGTCGTCTGCTATGTCTTCTCTTTATCATGTAGTTCCGCTTTATAATATAGGATTTCTTGGTCACTTTCGTAAGTTTTTTATTCGTTTTGATACAAAGTTCATTCAAATTCGCGAAATAAAGCTGCCGGCGTGTAAATTTCATTCAAAATAACACTTTTTTTCATTCGATTTAGTATATTCAGTCAATGGATTTAGCACTTGTTTCATTCGGTTTCACAACCGCTTACAAATGCGCAGTTTGCATTCATTTTCGTCAACAACTCTAATATATACAATCGTAGTCTGTAAACACACACTTTGCATGCACTTATATCATTGCATATTCATAAAAAGACTCTCTTGCTTAGTTCCATGCTAATTCTATTTTGATGTGGCTAGGTTTTTATCTACTTAACACATGATCGTTCAGTTGCTAAATAGTGATGATTTAGTGGGTATACAAATACACCCATAGTGAGGACAATTAACATGTTTGTTGCTTACCAACCATACAATTTGAAATGGATTTAGCATGGAACTAAGCTTGCGGGGTTCTATATAACATACTGGGTAAGATTGACGTGCTTAATTTGTCTGCAAAACGTGTGAAACTGCATAGAAACGAATTTGAATTAACGGAAGACGCTATTACGTAATCGCGAATCGTCTCGCTTTAAATTGAATGAACATTTTACGAAAAAGAAACACGTTTTAATTCGAATGAAAATGAAATGTTTTTGAATGATCGTTTTAGGAATTTAAATGCTAAAAAACGAATTTGAACGAAAAATAACAGCTGCGGTGACAGAATCGGCGACATTGAATGAACATAAAATGAATTTGTGTGGCCAACTTATGAAAGTGATCGAAAAATCCTATATTCCATTTTGGAAACCTGAAATGTTGACTAATTTTCTAAACTTATCCAAAGCTACAATTGAACTAAGAACTTATTTTATTCAGCTGTGTCTGCTTTGAAATGGAAAAACATAAATTATTTTTATTTGTTTATTTATATTCTTTCAGTATTAAAACTATTATCCTGACAGGCCTAGCTTTACGAATTATTGGTTACAAAATACAGTGGAAATTGAACAAATTTTAACAAAGTACAATATTACATAATATCAATCATGGATCATTTGTTGGTGATTTTTATTTTTTTTATACACCATGATATGAGGGTTGATATTTGACCAGCTTATACAGTATGATATCCGTCCTTACACCGTTTTACTAATCTTTACACTATATCACGATACACACGGTACACGATAATGCGTCCATATACAGAGCATGCTTGAAAAATAAATGAATAGATAAATATAACAAATTTATTAATAAATCACTGAAATGCCGGGTCCCGAAAACCAGACCATACCCCACCACCCCACTCAACCCTCTCTCTCTCTCTCTCTCTCTTCTCTCCTTCTTCTTTCCTCTATGCCCCCCTCTCTCTCTCTCTCTCTCTCTCTTGCAATTTCTTTGTCAAACAAGGCCTTAATTGCGCGCATATTTTCATTTTATCATTCTCTCTTTCATAAAAGCTAGATGACAAATTTGCTCATCTCTTGAAATTTGAACACAATTCCCCCCGCAATGATTCATTATTACCATCCCATCTTAGTCAATATCACATGACGCAGATGAATCAAGTGACCTAGCAATCACACCATTCCGCACCATACCCCCTCCCCACCCAACACACACACTCTCTCTCTCTCTGTTTCTCTCTCTCTCTCGCTTCCAATTCTTTTCTTTATAAAATTTAATGAAATAAGTACACACAGTGGCTGTCTTTGTAAAATCATAAGCCTTGGGCTCATATTTTAATTTTATCATTCTCTCCTTTTTAAAAGCTAGATGACAAATTTCCTCGTCTTTTGAACAAATTTTCTCCCACAATTATTGTTCTATGATCACTTGGCATCCCATCTGGGTCAAGATCACATGACGCAGATGAACCAAGTGACCTAGCAATCACACCATTCCGCGCCATACCCCCTCCCCTCCCACCCCTCTCTCTCCCTCTCTTTCTCTCTCTCTCTCCCTCTCTCTCGCTTCCAATTATTTTCTTTATACACCTAGTGGCTGTCTTTTTCAAATAAGGCCTTGCGCTCATATTTTCATTTCATCTACCTCTCCTTTATTAAAGCTAAAATGACAAATTTGCTCATCTCTTGAAATTTGAACACATCCCCCCCCCCCCACAATCAGGGGCGGCGATCCCGGGGGACGGGGGGACACGTCCCCCCCCCCCCTCAATTTTTTTAGGGGGGATCGTCCCACCCCCCTGAAATTTGAAAAAGTGCATAAAGTAGATGTATTGCGAATACTAACTAAAGACTGCAAACACACTTTTAGGCTCTGGAGGGCCCAAGAGTGCAGCGTTTAGACTAATAAAATGCAAAAATCTTCTAGCTCGGTCGCTACGCTCCCTCGCAAAATATCCTTTACAATGCACAAGTAAATATTGTCTAAAATCTGTATTCTGTTGGTATCACCGTGATACCCACTAGCGTACTGATGTGGCGAGGGGGGGGGGGGGGCATTTGCCTCCCCCAAATAAAACTCAAACTCAAACTCAAACTTCCGGGGGCTCTGGACCCCACCAAGGGATCCAGGGTGGGCCCCTGAATGCTCATCTTACCGTAATTTGATTTGAGGCTCAGCCCCCTGAACCCCACAATTAGTGACCTGCCAGTTTCACTAATAAGGTGTCAAAAATATGCTCATCTAAACGTAATTAAATGCCTAAAACCCCTGAGCTTCCGGGGGCTCCGCCCTTGACCCCCGCTAGGGCTTTGCCCCTAGAGCCCACGCCAATTTACGCCCCACTCTACCTGATCGTAAAGACTTTAGCCCTCCCCCTCCACTTTGAAAAAACGTTCGCGGGGCCTGCATGTAACGCGTAAGAGTGGTGGTGACGCGTATTTTTTTCTGCCCCCCCCCCCTCAAAAAAAAAAAGTTTTTGCTCATTACACCACTGGTGATATCAACGCGGAATACAAATATTTCCTCGCATTTCGTCCCCCCGGTCACGAAAAGAAATCGCCGCCACTGCCCACAATGATCCATTATTACTTGACATCCCATCTTAGTCAAGATCACATGATGTAGATGAATCAAGAAGTGACCCAGCAATCACACGATTCCGCGCCATTCAAATATTATTTGCTTTTATCAAATTGTATATTCATATTTTTTCACGAGATGTAAACACCATTTGGACTTTGGACTGGACCATTACTTTTCCATTGAGCGTTTTATGTATGCATTGCACAATATCTTCATCACGTGAATGCGAAAGCAATAAATAGTATTTAGTTTCAAAATTGCTTATATATCGCAGTGCATTCAATATTCAAGTATCACAAGTATACGCCTGTTTCACGTTCGACTTGTCGTCTGCATCTATTGCGCCTTCCGCCGTGCTAGACATCAATTTATTTCATCGTGAGTATAACACATTTTATGTTTCCATTGGTTACTTTTGATGGGCTTTTTGAAGTAGCAACCACGACCAAGGGAATTGGTAAGCAAATTATTCTATCATACTGATAGTTATATAGCTTTTTTTCTCTTCGTTGCGTAAATAGAAAATGTAAAATCTTTCCTAGATCATGTTGAATTATGCGTATATCTTATTTGGCGAAAAATTTGAAAATGTTTTATCAAAATATGATAAGTGTCTGATGTTTTATTGCTCGGATTCCTTGGAAATAGGCATATCACCAAAACTATTTGCAATACTTTTGATAAACGCGGTGATTGCCATTCCTGTATAGTATTCTACTACACTTCCGATTGACTGTCATCATAGCAACCCCACCTCCCAGTTAATTGGAACCTATGAGCAGGGGCGTACGCAGGGGGGGTGTTTTGGGGGTTCAAACCCCCCCCTTTGGTATTTTAATGTATGTAAACCCCCCTAAAAAACCTAAACCCCCCCCCCCCCCTTTGGCTTTTTTTTTTTTTTTTTTTTTTTATTAAAAAAAAAAAAAAATTATACCACGGCTAACCTAAATAAGGTGACCTTACCCCCCCCCCCATACGTAAAAAAATGTCAAATTTTGAAATTTTGAGACCAAAAAAAAAAAAAAAAGTGTCCGCTTACCCCCCCCCCCCCCCCCCCCCCCCCCCCCCCCCACTGAGCGACTTTTCTGCCGGCTGAGTCGTTGCGATTTTTTTTGGCCTCCAAAAAAAAAAAAAAAAAAAGTGTCCGCTTACCCCCCCCCCCCCCCCCCCCCCACTGAGCGACTTTTCGGCCGGCGCGATTTTCAAATTTTCGGGAGCAAAATATTTTAAAACCCCCCCCCCCCCTTGAAAAAATCCTGCGTACGCCCCTGCCTATGAGGCTATCATAATAATGGTGTGTAAAGAGAACTTCTGAACAAGATGTATTCACGTTTCTGACTTTTTGAAATGGTAGGGGCGTGACAGTTGTATACGGACACTGTTCTCTCGATGTATCTATGCTATTCACCGGGACGTATAGATCAGAATGAAGCTATCAGCCTCTAGAATGGATAACATATTACACAGGATCCTTATTTTCCATCTTCTCCTTTTCGCTTTCTCCTTTCTCATTTTCTTCTTCTCATTTATCAACCAGGAATATAGTTTGTTTTAGCTGGAGGCAGTATGATGTTTAAACAAATTATGTTGGTCGCCCTATTGGCCGTGGTGACGGCAAGTGCCAAGAAACCATGCTGTGGCCCAAAGCAGTTTATGGCGGGCAATGGTAAGATACTTTTGTGTAAATCATTCATTTATTCATATTGCCATCATGCAACGGGTGCCACCTCCCGAAAGCAAAATATAAATAAAATTATACTAAAAGTACTGATTAAGTTTTGGCTAAAACAAAGAGAATCGTTATGGTCAACAGTAGTGGAGGGGGCCAGGGGTGGTACTCAGATTTGGTTTGGACCGGGGTGTGCCGCTCAAGCCTCGAAACCCCTACTCATTTTTTTAAAGGTCATTGGGGGGGGGGGGGGAATTTTCCTCGAAATAAATGCCCATTTGGGGGGGGGGGGGGTTGGGTGGGGGCTTCTAAGTGGGATGTATAATAATATCTATAATGTTCTTTCGGTAACTGTGTTAATTTATTATGGGCGTTCCCAACTCAAGCAATGCTTTCCGGGTTTTCGCCTCCCTCCGTATCTGAATTATTTACTGTATACTCTATGTTGAAATAATTGTTACATATATCATGTATATATATGTATATATATATATATATATATATATACATTGTGTTTTATATTGTGCTGTTGAGAAGGAAATAAATGTTAATAAAAAAAAAAAATCTTTTTTTTTTTTATCCTTCTTATCTCATCAATTTTTTTTTTTTTGAAGGTGGGACAGTGGGGCAGGTGGATCCGGACTCCGGACCACAAGGTTTCTTCACCTACCAATATGGTGCATTTGACTACACCAACAGGATGTTTGGCTACAATATGTCTGTTACCTACCCCAACGGTACACAAACAAATATTAAGCTGATTCAGAAATACGGTCAGGTATGTTGATTTGACACATTTTCGTGTCTTACTATGTCATACATTTTGTTTGACGTCTGTTTGACACCACTCTTCGGGCGTTGTTATATATAGATTGAAAGGAGTGAGCTTACAGTGTGTACAGTTCGTTTGCAGTGTTTAATTATGACAGTGTGCACAGTATTTTTACACTATAAAAGGAGTGTGTGCAATTTCTTTAAAGTGTGTAGAGGGTGTCCATAGTGTCTGCACAACAAGGAAAGGGTGTCCACAGTGTCTCCACAGTATATCTAAGGAGTATTTAGGCCAGTGTATTCAAAGTGTGCAAATATTGTGTAAGCAGTGTCTGTGTACACTGTGTACACTGTGTATTCACATCGTGGAAATAGTGTTCACAGTGTAAATAAAATGTCCATGAGCGCGTATAAAGTCCATTCACAGAGGAGGGTCTCATGAAAGGTTCATTGTCTTCACAATGTGAAGAAATTGTGTACAGTATCTTCATAGTTTGGAAAGTTTTCAGTTTCAGTTTGATGGTTCATATTCAACATTTTGCAATGATTTCACAAAGCCAATGGTACAAAAAATAAACATTAATTCAATGAAAAGAGACAACAACAAAAAAGAAAAATGGATAAAAAGACTAAACTAAAAAGAAGGGCGAAAGCCATGCTTGTGAGTTATTGCCCCCAAAGGGTGTTTAATATGATAACAATCTTCAAAAATAGAGAGAACAAGCAATTAATGTCAATCACATGATGATTCGTATCCCCCTCCAAGAAACAGAGTCACCTTCATTATAATAATGTAACATCTTTTGAATAAATTGAATAAATTTGAAAAAAAGTGTGCACAGTAAGCGTACCCGAAATTTGAAAAGTGTATGCACTTTTTGTCAAAGTATAAAAAGAGAGTATGTTGTTTGGTCACAGTGTGAAGACAGTTAGTACCCAAAGTGTCTCCACAGTGTGGAAATAATGAGTAAATTATGTTTACAGCGTTGAAAGTGAATGCACAGTGTATTCACAGTATGTAAAGAGTGTGTAAAGTGTCTCCACAGTGTGGAATTACTGGTTACAGTACGTTTACACTGTGGAAAGTGAATGCACAGTGTGTTCATGGTATATGCAGTGAGAGTGAGTAAAGTGTCTCCACGGTGTGGATATACTGAATACAGTATGTTTACACTGTGGAAAGTGAATGCACAGTGTGTTTATGGTATGCAGTGAGAGTGAGTAAAGTGTCTCAACAGTGTGGATATACTGAATACAGTATGTTTACACTGTGGGAAGTGAATGCGCAGTGTGTACATAGTATGTAAAGAGTGTGTAAATTGTCTCCGCAGTGTGGAAATACTGAGTACAGTATGTTTACACTGTGGAAGTGAATGCGCAGTGTGTACATGCATGGCCGTGTACATGGTATGCAAAGCCCGGTGTGTAAAGGGTCTCCACAGTGTGGAAACACTGGGTACAGTATGTTTATACTATGGAAAGTGCATGCATGCACAGTGTGTCACACGGTACCAAACAGTGCGAAAAGAGCTGTACAGACGGCATCGTGAGCGCAATATGAACGATTGGTGTCGCATGTCCTTCTTTTTGCAAGCATCATGTTTATTTGAACTCTAATACCTATATCTAATTTCCATGCTTAATTATCAAACAGGGATACCAGTATATTATCCTCGAAGAATTCCAGTACTGCCAGAAGCAACCGGTCACCAAGCCGGAACCAATCAATTGTATTCCTGGTGAGAAAATTTGATTGTTTAAAGGCCCACTGCACTACTTGTAGCTACTTGCGCCCTCTATATAACAAACAATGCCTAATTGGTGACCATTGGTCCCCCATGATCCTCTTTTTCTTATGTTGACTGAGAGCTGAGTTGATGAGATAACCACCTGTCCAGTGACCTTGCAGGGCGATCTAATCCCTTCTGTAAACTATGGCAGATAAGCTTTAAGAGCGAGTGATAATTTAGATTCACCGTCTTCAAAAAATAGATATGATTGGCCTTTAAAACAATCAAATTGCTCCATTATTTCAGTTAGGTATATTGACAATAGACAATGTATCATTTTGGTTCTCGAAACGTTAAATATATTTAAATTGATTCCCTCCTATGTAACTTAAAGCCATTGTCTAACAATTTTTCCAGTTTTACAAATCTGAGATGCATGGCCCTACGTGTTATCAGTGTCTGTGATATGGTGTAAAAGTGAAGCCCTAACAAAATTGCGCTTCAAAATTATCATGAAGTGCTTCCAAAAAGTAAGAATCTTTGAGTGACCGGTTTTTATCATACTCCCCCCCCCCCAATAGACTGTATTGTTATATAAAACTGTTGAAAACCGTTTGGCAAACAGTTTAAGGTTTATAATTATGATTGCAGCATGAGTTTAATCCAGGATTTTGTTTCTAATCTGAGGCAAAGATACACAATCCCTTTTAGGTAAAGACCAGTATTTGTTTAATAAGTTTGTGTACTTGTATATTTGCTTCAGTGAACAACTACTTTTTACCATATCCACCTGAATTTTGAACAGAAGACGGTACTCTGTATTGGGAGATAGGGTAGAGGAGAATTAGAAAAAAATACTTTAATGGAATTAAACAATTAATTGAAAAAGCAGGTCGAATAGGCTGTAATAGCTTTAGATTTACATTGCACATATAATTATGTATCCACCCCATGGGATGTTCAAGGCACCTACAATGTAGTTATCCTGGCTTTATCCCATGTTCCAGGTAACCATTTACCACACCTGTGTGAAAAGTGGCAAATGTAGATTAATATCTTGCCAAAGGACATTAGTGACGCGGCGGGACTCGAACCACGAACCATGTGATCCACAATCTGGTAGTGTATCCATTATAAAGGCCCACGACACATCTACATACGAATATACAAATGAATAGACACGCCATTTGATTTATCCAAGTATTTAGATAATTAATACATCTGTAATTTGTAAAGTTAGAAATATGTTATATCTTCCTTCTTTTATTTACTAGCCAACGCAACTTGGACTTCAAGTCTTTTCATCGGAGGCTCCAAAGGCCTGTATGCAGATTCATGGACATACAACTTCGTTTACCCTAAGGATCCCATAGAGGGCGTCATAGTTATCCAAGTCTTTGAGTCTAATTGCTACCCATTCGGGACTGCATTCATTGGCGATCGCTTCCAAGGCCAAACCCGAGGTAATGATTATTTCCCAAAAGAACATAATCACTTCTTTCGTATTATATGTATAAGTTATTATTATATTGTAATTGTTTGAATGGGGGGAACAACCATCCCCCATTTTCAAAACACCCCAAACCATGGGCTCTTATTTATTAATTAAGTTTAACCCAACCCTGTCTAAAATTACGTTTAATAAAAGGAAAATGGAGACCTCCTACTAAACTTCTTTGGGTATCCCGAGTTTGAACAAAAATATAATGTACTGTTGATGCTAGTATGAAAGAGCAAGGGTAACATTCACCAATTTGTATTTGTTGAATTGACCAAAACAGACGGCCATGCCATTCTTGTGCTGTAGCAGTAGAAATGAAAGAACGCGATCAGTCCATTCGGGGATAAGTAGATTTCCTGACAAGCATTTCATTAACTTTAACCCATTTGACCAACATCCCATAAGACCGACATTCCCCGAGGCCGAAGGCCATCTTGAATGACAGCCTATGAGACCAACTGTCGGTCTTGCGGGACTTCTAACACTGGCTGAAAAGTTATCAGAGGGTTTACTAGACAAACGTCTAAAACCTTAAAGTTACTACACCACCTGAAGTATTGATGCTAAATTATTCTTTGTGTATACTTTTCCTTCACACAGACCGCCTGTTTCCCTTTTGCTGTTTACTTAATTATGTTTTGTACCTACCCATGTAGACCTCTATATATATTTATTCCTGGAGACCGGCCCTTGATAGGTCAATGGCCTCTGTTGGCTCCACCACAGTCTCAAGTATTAATTCTAGGTGCTCCAATTCTTTAAATATTTTTTATGCTATTTTCTTGTTTTGTTTTGTTGTGTTAATCAGATATTGTATGTAAATTGTTATGTTTTTTTTTTTTTTAGAAGTGGAAATAAATGAAAAATGAAATGAAAAAACGTCGGACAACCGCGAGACCAGCCTTCTGATAACTTTTCTGACGGTTAACGCCGACCGAAATTTTCGGCCCCGTAAACAGTCGGTCTCTTGAGATGTTGATTTATGAATTTATCTTTTTCCATGCATATCTTCTGATTAGCTCTGTTGTTATTCTCAACATGACACTTACAGTTGGTGGCCTTCTGTGAAGGTATCAGAGTGTTCACTTTGTAAACGACCCATGATACCGACATAAACGTCCTGGGGAGTGTTTCACAAAGATCCTCAGTTGAACTTAACTCTAAATTGAACTTAAACATTATGGAGAGCCATATGTAGCCTTAAAGCCCCACTGTCCTACTTGTAGCTACTTGCTCCCTCTATATAGAAAACTTCCCCAATCGGTGCCTGTTGGTCCCCCATGATTCTCTTTTTCTTATGTTAGTTGAGAGCTGAGTTAATGAGATAGCCACCTGTCAGTGACCTCGCTGTGTGGTGTAATCCCTTTTGGCCCAGTAGTATTGACGGTCTTTAAAATAAAATAAATTAAAAAGCTAAAAATCAAGCATTTTTGACTTTTTATAAATTTCACATCAAGGACATGAAATCTCCTTGATAATAGAAAATGTGAATGATTTGAATCAACATCGTATGCCTTTTAAAATAACTTTTACAAAATATTTTGATAGATGCTAACGGCTTTCCATTATTTTTAAGTCCATCTTAGAGTTAAGTTCAACTTACGATCTTTTTCGAGAAAAAAAAATCCGAGGATTCACCAGACCGAAATTGTCGGTTTCGTTAGCTGTCGATTTATTTGGGATCTATCGATATGGATTACGAATTTTGTCTTTCTCCTTGCAGTTCCCATGACCAGTTCGGGTGGTCTTCTGAACATGACAATCGGGATTCCTGATCCAGACGCGTGGTTTACTGTACCAAGCTTCTGTCCTAAAGAGGTATGACGTCATCCACGTTTCCATCTGCTTTAGCATCGACATTATATCACTCTAATAAGAATTTCAAGAACAGTTTAGAGATTTTTGTTTTCACGAAACGCTTATATTATATAAATTAAAAAGATACATTACCATTTTATGTCAAGAAGGCGAAAACTGTGATAAATGTTAATCATTCATTGTTATTAATAAATATGCTTCCTGTTGAAAGTTTATATTTCTATTCAAGGCCTAAGAATCTACTGGTAATATAATTTTATTCTGCATTTACTGGCAATAGATTTGACAATTATCAATCTCAGATTTACTCATCAAGTTCCTTTTGTATGCTTGTGTCCTTTCATGGGAATTCTTCAACAAAATTCAATACCGCTATTTCGATTAAAGTTCTTTTCTTTTTTCCCAGGTTAACAAATTCAAGACACGCGAGGAGCGATCTGCACCAAACCTGCCGAATCTAGATTTCTTCCACCTGCCACAGTTCTACTGAAAAACAACAGGGGCTCCGTTAAAACACAGTCATGACAACAATCATCCCCACTGCCGACCAATAAGTAACCCCTTTTTAATCACCATCATGATCAATGGAACTGAATTTTGATTGGAACCGATTATGATTTATGATTGGAAGTGAACGTTATTCCCTTTAAATATGCACTATCAACAAAACTACGCTATTTTCAGTTTAAAATATTTCAAAATAATCTTGGGGTAAATAAATATTTGAAATTGATACGTATATTAATTTCTGATCAGTGTTTTTTGTGGTTTAAATAGTGTTAAATCAATCGCACACTTGTTCTGGGCTTAGTCTTGTAACCCATCAATTTATTTTTATTTTTCAGGAACACACTTTTTATATTTGGCCGAGGGGCGAGATTTCTGACACTTGACTTTTGTTACTTTATACGCATAATATATTCTCTACAAAATGTAATCATAGTAGAATATCTTTTGAATTATTTAAGAAACAGTTGAAATATAATTATGAACTTGAGCGAATAATCTATTCAAAACCAAAAACATTTTTTTTTTTTTTACTTTCTTGATAAATAAAGAGATGTACAATTGAATAGAAACATGTTATAACACTTTTTGTATTACCATGTACTGCTTATTTTCATCACATTAATTATTTTGAAGTGTGTACTTTTGTTAATTTGCTTTGTTAATTCTGAATAAATTTTCTTTGAAAAAAAATCATCATCATGATCATCGCCTTCGATCAACAATGATTCTTTGGATCTAAATTAAGAACACCCTTGCATGTAGTAATAATGCAAGTCTCAACCCTTCTCCCATCACTCTCCCTCTCTACCTCTCTCTCTCTCTCACTCTTTCGCACACACACACCACTACAGGGAAATGCTGTCAACCGTGGACCAAGTTTAGTTTAATATGTGTGCGTAGGTAATCACCAGCAACCGCGGACCACTCCATAGAAAACTACATCAAACCGCGGACGTACCTCCTATGGGATGATCCAGGTAGCGAGCGCCTCTCCCGCGCAGTCAAAAGGGGGCGCTGTGACATTTCGCGATACACATCGGACTGATCCAGTCGATGTTGCCTACACGCTGTGACATCTAATATTCAAACGCCCCCTACGTCGTAAATTTGATACGGCGGAACCGGTATCGCAACCTTGGACGGTCCCCCATTGCAGGTACTTCTGCGGTTTGAGGTAGTTTTCTATGGAGTGGTCCGCGGTTGCTGGCGTTTTCCTACGCACACACGCACACACACACATATTCAATTCAATTCAATTCAAGTTTATTTTTCATTTCCACAGAAATCAGAACAATATTTCATTAAAACAAAACAAAAAATTGAACAAGATAACATGTGAATAATATCATTTACAAATACTTAAACTGCATATAAACAAAGTTTGAATAACATAATACAAAAAAAATTGATATTTTCTATGGAAATGGAGGGACCCATTAAAAAGTGGATACTTGTAGATTATGGGTCCCTCAAAATAACAAAGTAGCATTACACAAATTAGCTTATACAGAACAAAAAACACAAATATATTATTATAAAAGTTTGCTCTTTGTTTTTAAAATAAAAATAAAAAATAAAAAATAAAGTAAAGACAATGACAAGCCCGCGAAGACAGAACAGTAACAAGTAGAGACAATGTAAGACAGAGAAAGACATTCAATAACAAACAAAAAAAAACGAATATACAGCACAGACGTGGACGTAACATTTCCAAAATAACAAATCAGTTATTCTACATTCCGTGTACTATTGTCAATACAAATCAGATTATCAGTAAAAAGTAAGACCGTATAAATCGATAACTGCGCATATAATTATTAAAGAGAAAATAAGGGGAAAGTATGCGCGTATTCTCCTCAAAATGACCAAGACAATGATGCATCGTGTATAATGTGTAAGTATTAGTGTGTGTGTGTGGGTGTCAGGGGGGGGGGGGGTAAATCAAACTAATTTACTTTATATTTTAAGAACAAAAATATTTTTAATCTTTTCTTAAATGTATATAATGAAGGGGCATTTTTCAAGGAATCAGTAAAGGAATTCCACAAATTTGGGCCATCATAGATAAAAGTGTTTTTAGCGAAGGAAGTTCGAAGTAATGGCAAATGGTACTCTTCCGATTGTCTAGTTGAATGTTGATGAAAAGAGCGATTTTTTAAAAACATAGTCTTAAAAATTTTTGGCAGCAAATCATTAGTATTTTTATACATAAATTGACCTAATTGAAGCAAATACAAATCTTTTACTTTCAAAATATTATTATCATAAAACAACGGATTAGTGTGTGCACGAAAATCTGCCTGGGAAATAATTCTAACTGCTCTCTTCTGTAACAATAAAAGTTTGTCTAAAATGTTCTGATGAGCGTTACCCCATGCGAGTGAGCCATAATTCAGATAAGGTAATGTTAAGGATGAATATAATGTTAATAATGCTGAAGATGGGAGTTGTGTTTTAAGTCTATTTAATATACCAATATTTCTCGATTTTTTTTTAGAAATGTTATCGACATGAACTTTCCATGAAAGCTTATTATCAATTATTACACCTAGAAATTTAGAATGTGTAACCTTTTCCAAATGAGTGTCATCAAAAACTAAATCAGTTGGCAAAGAATCTATTGAATTACTAAAAAGAATATATTTAGTCTTTTGTAAATTTAAAGACAGCCTATTAGCTCGGATCCATTGAATAATTTTTTCTAATTCAAAATTTACAATTTCAACAAGAGTATTTGGATTTGTATGTGAAAAGAACAAATTTGTATCATCAGCAAATGATATAAAAGACGCCATATCTGATGATCTATAAAAATCATTAATATAAATAATAAACAAAAGCGGGCCCAGCAAACTACCTTGAGGAACCCCACAATTAATATTTCGTAATTCAGAAGTGTGACCATCCAGAAATACAAACTGTTTCCTATCGGAAAGGTAACTCCTGAACCACTCCAAGGCCTTCCCACGTATACCATAATGAGAAATTTTATGAAGCAAAATATCGTGGTCGATCGTGTCGAAGGCCTTGGAGAAGTCCAGGAGTATTCCAACCATATGATAAGAGGAGTCGAGAGCATGAGCTACCTTTTCAACAAGTGATAATAATGCATGACTCGTGCTAT